GGTCGAAATCACACCAAAGTGCGAAAACTTCTCGCGATCCGTTTTTTGTTCACTTTTTTCGATTTCATCGTGAAAATCGCAAAGCCAAACAAAAACGCGCGCGCTGGGCCGATCAAAACACGAAATTTGCGAAATTAAACAAATCGTGCTGAAAAGTGATACTGAATTACATATTTTTAAAAAACAAGCCAATCCTACCGGCTAGCCGTAGCCCGCTTAGGTACAATATTGAGATTAAGATTACAACTAGCCTTAGGCTTAAACTTATGCTTGGGCATATGCTTAAGTTTGGACTTAGGTTTAGTCTCTAGCTCTTGCCCTAACCCGCTTAGGTATAAGATTAAGCTTGATCACGATTAATATTAGCCTAAGGCTTAAACTGTTGCTTGGGTATAAATGTAAGATTAGATTTCGGCTATAGCTTTCGCCCAAGCCCAGATCCCTAGCCCCAGAGCCCTAGTCCAGAGCCCCAGCCCAGAGCTGAAAAAATCTCGTATTTTACATTTCCACATTGCAAAAAAAATTTCCATGCCCCCACACCCCTTTACTTTTGTATCTACCCCTGCCACAAAAATTTTTATTACAGCTAGCAAACTATGTCTACTCCTACCCCAAAAACTCATAAATCTTCCCCTAAACCACCCCCGCATAAACAACTTAAAGTATCTTTTGAAATGCCCGTAATATGCCACCAAATCCGTAATTGCCAGTTCGATACCTATTGTAACCTTGAAAACCAGAACCCAAACGGTAGATTCGAAATATTTACTTTCCCTCTCAACAGGATGCCAATTTCTACGGATTTTTGGTTATTCTGTTTAAACATTGCGTCACCGTACAAGGTGACAATTTGGATCAGCTGGAGACAACTTTGATTAATTATTATGAAAGTGAAAAGATCTTTTCGTTTTTCTGCGTACAGCTCACCTGTGGATTTTTTGAATCAGATCTGGAAACCACCCCCTCCCCTCCATCCCCCCCCAGAAAATCCATAGCGACGCCCTGGCCAAAGCGAAAAAAAAATTTGAAAAAAAGTTGAACGTGGTCCCCCCCCCCTGCGGATTTTTCACCCCGCCTCCAGACCAAAAGTCCCGGTCCTACCCCCGGCCATACCTAATAAAACAAAGTGGTCAGCTAATAGCTAATAAAAAAAAGTGATCAGTCAATAGCAAATGCAAGAAAGTAGTACAAAGTGATCAGCCAAATGTCACAAAAATTCAAAGGTTTTGAAGTTGATCTCCACTTATCCAGATCATTATCACCAACCCTGCCCGAAAACGAAAATGACAAGATTAATGTTGTAAAAACGAAAATGATATGTTCGATTCATTTCGAAGCGTTTTAGCACAAGACACCATTAAAACGCTATTATTTCTGAGCGGGATTCTAATTGTCTCATAACAGATTCAGAATCCGGTATTTTACGTTTTTTCTCGGGTTTAAATTGAGTTTTAAAAAGAATGAAAATTAAGTGAAAATTAGATATTTTGTGACAATAGGTTACCCTACCTCACCCTACCCTACCCTACCCTACCCTACCCTACCCTACCCTACCCTACCCTACCCTACCCTACTCTACCCTACCATACCTTACCATACCTTACCCTACCCTACCTTACCTTACCCTACCCTACCCTACCCTACCCTACCCTACCCTACCCTACCCTACCCTACCCTACCCTACCCTACCTTACCTTGCCTTAACATAATCTACCTACCATACTCTACCGTACTACCTACCACCTACTGTAACCTTTCATCGTACAATACTGGTTATAGATTTCTCAAGCCCGTTTCAGCCTGCCCTCCCCATTCCCTCCCCCTGGCCTATAATACATGTTGTATCAATTAAATAACAGCCAAAGAAAACTTCCGTATTTTACAAAGTAGCCACTATTAACACTATGATACCTTATTCTGCTTTGCCCTACTACACCTTCCTTATTCTTTCCTTGTCCCTACAACACCTCAAACTTGCTTGTCGTGCCCGCGCCATATACCAAAAGAAACGGCTACAGCATAAAAAATCGATGAAAAATTGAAACATGATTTCGAATAATCCAAAAAAACTTTTTTTTTTCATTTTTTCTCCTCATATAGCGATCGTCTTCACAGTCGATTCTCACGAAAAACAGCGCTTCGAGGAGCCGCGAACGGAATGCAATCATGATTTTCGAATAAAAAAAAACGGTTTTCGAACCGGCGTTCTGCTATTTTCGGATAACAATAACATGAAGAGCACTTGTCGAACTTGAGGGACCAAGTTGGGTGGTCAACTTTGGTCACGGTAATATTGGAAAGTAAGAGCTACACAAAAAAGGATACTCCTCCGTTCTAGAAAAAAATTAAAAAGCGTTTTACAATTAAGTCTACTAAGCCTAAGCCTAGTAAACCTAAACGTACTAAGTCTACTATTAAGCCTACTAAGCCCAAGCCTAATAAGCCCAAGCCTACTAAGCCTAAGCCTACTGTGCTTAAGCCTACTAAGCCTGAGTCTACTAAGCCTAAGCCTACTAAGCCAAAGAAAACTAAAGCTAAGCCTAATAAGCCTAAGCCTACTAAGCCGAAGCCTACTAAGCCTAAGCCACTAAGCCTAAGCCTAATAAGCCTAAGCCTACTAAGCCTAAGCCTACTAAGCCTAAACCTACTAAGGCTAAGCCTTGTAAGCCTGAGTCTACTAAGCCTAATCCTACTAAGCCAAAGAAAACTAAAGCTAAGCCTAATAAGCCTAAGCCTACTAAGCCTAAGCCTACTAAGCCAAAGCCTACTAAGCCTAAGCCACTAAGCCTAAGCCTATTAAGCCTAAGCCTACTAAGCCTAAGCCTACTAAGCCTAAGCCTACTAAGCCTAAGCCTACTAAGCCTAAGCCTACTAAGCCTAAGCCTACTAAGCCTAAGCCTACTAAGCCTAAACCTACTAAGGCTAAGCCTAAGCTTACTAAGCCTAAGCCTAGGAATTTTAAAACCACTAAGTCAGCCCTGATGTAGTTTATTTAGCCAAGCTCACGAAGCCCATTTTTCCGTTACTGCACCACAAAAATAAAAAAATCATGTTTTTACCCCACCCAGCCACAAAAACGTAAAAAATCTATAAAATACACGTTTTTTCGCCCACAAAATGTCAAAAAGTTTGTCATAAAAACGACACGAGTCAATGTCAATGTTCATCAATCAAAAGAAAAGGATATAACTTCAATTTAAGGATCAATGTCGTCGTCTTCGGATCGATTTTGTCTTTGTAAATCGCCGCAGTAGACTTTACAATCCGCTTACATTGTAAAAGTACAAAAGGGCTGGTTTTCTTTTAAAGTGACGTTTGGGGTGAGTTAAACTTAGGGGAATTAAAACCTGAGAGCAAGCCTAAAATAGGTCTATGATGGCGCTAGAGTTGTGCTAAGGTTGAAGTAGGGTTATGTTAGGGTAAAACCAGACTAGGCCTAGTATAAGACAAAACTAAGGCTAGAGTAAAGCAGAGGTAATGGAAATATAAAGGGTGCGTCAAAAGTTCTGCTACAAAACTAGTAGAGCAAAACTATCCTCCCCCGTGCTTGAAAAAAATAAAAAAGAACTGCCTATCAAGCCCCCTTAAGAAAAATTGACCCGCCTGATAAATAAAATAGGTTTTCAAGTTCAAAGAAGATTTAAAGCCACTAAATAAAATGACACCACACTTTACCAATAAAAACTTCAAAATAGCTTCCATATGTTGTTTTGGCCACAAAAACATGTTGCTAATTGAAAAAGTGCTTTAAACTAGACTAAAGTTTTAAAGTTTTAAATCCTGTACTTTGTCTAACAAAACATTAGCAAAAACTTTCTTTACAACTCAAAAATCTTAAAAAATTTCCAAAAATGATAAAAATATTTTGTCAAAACCAAATTTTATGGTGTCGACATAAAGAACCCGCCATTTTTTACAGGAAATTACAGGTAAAGTATGGCGGGTTCTTTATGTCGGCTCCTAATACAAACCAAATTCGAACAATTTTCAACAAAAAACGCTCAATTTTATCGGTCGTAACCACCGATATCGGCAAGGTAATTTATTTGTGAGCGGCGGAAGAGAGATAAAATTTTTTATTGCAAACGTCTACTGCAATGTACATGATACGCAACATTGGGAATCGTTTAAATTTTAATTCGATTAGCCTAGTTCTTTCCAGTACAATAACAAGGTTGTTTTCAGTTTTTTGAAAACTGTATTTTTCTCAAAAAAATTAAGTTCACCCCTCCCATTGAGTTAAAAAAAATTTTTTACCCCGCCCTAAAAAATTAGTTTCAAAATTTAAAATTTGGCTACTATTAAAATTCCTAACTATGCAAAGGCTACTCCAAATACCTAACTATGTAAAGGCTACTCCAAATTCGAAAAAGTAATGACCCCCCTCTGCCAACATATGGCATAGTAAATACCAACCATGAAAATGAGTAACCTCACTATGACTCCCAAAGCTTGAGCCGTAAAACCGACCGATGGGTCAGTTTTTATCGTCGGAATTGCACTTGAAACGAGTCACATATAGATATAGAGCCATATAAGAGGGAGGTATTTGCACAAGGCGGGGTTGTCAATAAAAATAAAACTGGTAACGGTATGCATACAAACAAGAAATAACAACAAAATAACGATGTGATAACATGATTTACATGCTCGGTGAGTCATGCTGGGAAAGTTTGTCATGAAAAATTACAAAAACTTTGTTTACAAAGGAAAAAATTGTTAAACATGTTTAATACCATTAAAAACGGAAAAAAAATCCTTTAAAAAGTAAAAAATAGCAAAAACTTCTTTCCAACTCAAAAATTCAAAAATATCACTGTTTATTTAATAAACTATCATTATAAGACATCTTTACAAATTTAGAAGATCATTAAGGTTAGAACAAGCCTAACGTAGATTCTGTAGCCACAAATAATAAGTTATCGTACAACAACACACAAGTATGCTCAACATGACATTCCAAAGCCTCAAAAACATATTCACCATCAAATTCTGTAGCCTCATCGTCGGCTTTTCTTGGACGATGGTCCAGCATCTTCTGTGTCTTTTCGTTTGTCTTTCGTTTTGAACAGATCTCCAATACCGAAAATATCGTCTTTTTCGACTTCGAATTCGACCGGTCCGTTTCTGGGTGCGGCGTTGAGCACGGGTTCGGCGCCTTTGAATCCTCGGTCAGGTTGGAAGCGGTTTTGTTTGACAATTTCGTCCAGATCGTCACCGTACGGGTTTTCGGCTTGTTTTCCTAAAAAATCATTATTACTAAAGGTAATAAAATTACAAAATGTACTAAAAATTTTAAAATTTTCATATTTTTTTCAAAAATGTCATAAAATTTAAAAAATATGTAACAATATAACACAAAACCAAAACCTACTCGGTCTGTAAATGCTTTGAACATTGCTCTCTGTCCTCCATGGTTGATCATAAACGTTATACGTATCCTCATCCATGGCTCCACTATCCAATCCGGCATCTTTGTTGAATAATCTGTGATCAAATTGAGTTTCGCCTGATTTATCCTTAGTTCCAGGTAACCCTAGAGCCACCTTTTCACTGATATCTCGTTCTCTGTCTCGTTTCAACTTCTCGGCGGCATCTGGTCGTCCTCTAGTCAAGTTACGTTCTCTTCTGATCTCATCCATCTTCTCCTTTCTGATCTCATCTCTTCTGGCCACACCTTCATCATCTTCTTGCGGCTTCTTATGTTGTCTATTGGCTCTGGCTTCCTTGGCCAACTCCATCATCTTCTTCTCTTGTTCTAACCTCTTATTGTCCGCGATTCTCTTCTCCATTTGATTCCTGGCTTCCACGCCTTCTCTGGCCGTTCGCTGAGCCAATTGTAGAGCTTCTGACAACTTAGCAAAATTTTCATTAATATGAACTTGTTGTAGACCTCGACCATCAGCTGCTAACCTTTTATCCAGCCCCACTGTGAAACCTTTAGGATTCTTCCAGTTTGATATACATGGTGGTATCTTCCAATCAGCCTGCTCCTTCTGTGTAACCTTTCGTGGTGGAGAATGTAGTACTGGTGCTGGTGGACTTGGTGGTGCTCTAGGAATCTTTTGGTTAATTTGGAATCTTGGAGGCTCCATGGGATCACGTTGAGCTTCTACCATTCGTATAATCCTCTGCTGTGACGTGCCTTCGGAATTCTGCTGTGATGGAGTATATCTAATGTATTGGGCTGGTTCGGTCTTCTTAGCGTGTTGTACTGGCAAAGCTGATGCTATTTTGGCATTTGTTATCTTCTCAATTTGTTCTTTTGTCTTTCTCATCGTTTCTTCGATCTCTTCTTGGCTCGGGCGTTGTAATTCTGGGTCTTCTGGATCGATAGCACGTTGTTTCGTATTCTGTAGACGAGTATGGACGATTTTATCCTTGCCATGACCAATCTTAGCAATCGCATCATGTCGTAGCTTCCCATCTTTATCGTATTGTAGAGCTAACGTCTTGTTAGCACCAACATTTCGCGCTAAACCAGTTTCTGAACCCATGCCCAAAGGGAATTGGGCGATATGGATCTCGGGAAAGGCTCCACCATCGCCGTAGTCCTGAAAAAGATATCTAATTAGTCCTTAAAATGGCACAAATTGTAATTTACAAAATTTTCTTTCCTTTTAGCTCAACTAAAATTAAATCTTTTCCTATTACACAGCTTTTAAAAAGTTTTTACTTTCGAAAAACAATACTTTCAAAGATTTATATCAACCCTCTATTTCAAAACCTAAAATCACAAAGAATAGTATAAAACACTCACCTCAGGAACTCTTGGAGTATATGCACTACGTTGACCATAAGGTGGGACACTTTTCAACACAACAGCTTTGATTTCGTTTTCCAAAGCATCTTCACGTCCTTTAAACCAACTATCTCTAGTTACTTCAGAACTCAAGTCGTCTCGGGCATTCACCGGAGCTGGTAGAATACTAAAATAACATTAATTAATATCTAAAATCCTAAAAGCATCATATAACTTATTTAAAAAATAAGTAAAAAGGTATTTACACATAAGTAAAATTAAGAAAAGCAACATTTTAATACCTAAACCTTAAAATGCCTTAAAACTCAATAAAAATCAAGAAAAATCAACCAAAAACAATATAAGACTGTCAGGAATAACATAAACTTACTCTGCCAACTTAATCGACATCTTCCTTGAGGTTTATTAACACAAACTGAAGATGTAAATTTGTAAAAAACGCAGATATCAAAAAAGCGAAAAAAATTTCTGCAGAAATTATTTCAAAACGCTCATTTGTTTTCGCGTCGGGACCCAAGAGCGGTAGACATTTTTCTGTTTTTGGGTTAAACTTTAGTCTTTTTCATTAATTAATCGCACTTTTTATGTTACTAATATCACTATTTTTTAGTATTTTCGTTTTTTAAAGGGTTTTGATAATTTTAGGCTTCAAAAATTGGAAAAAAAACGTTTTATTCAACTTCAAACATAGAAAAACAATAATTTTGGGGTTATTATAATACTTTTTTGCATAAAAACACTGTCAAATTTACCAAAAACTTTTAAAAATACAAAAAGAGTTATTTCTGTCTGAGATCCTGTAGCAACTAATGGTACTCATGTGTATCCTCAAAGATTTTGAGCACTACGTCTTCTTTTTGCCATTTCTCGAAGCCCATGGTGAATTAACATTTGTGTCTTGTTGAGTGCCAAAGCCATTAGAGTTTGGCATGTTACTTAACGCCAAGATTTGAGGTACCACATTGTTCAAGTTCAGTCCTGGGATGATATTCATCGAGGTTTGCGGGGTTAAAATGGCATTTTGTGGGTTTATAGCGGCAAAAATGTCTGGATAATTGCCATTTTGTCCGAAGCCTTGATTAGTACTATAGTTAGGTACTAGTTGGTTTGGTACAGCTTGGTTAATATTGGCCGCTCCTTGAAATCCAGAGAGTCCATTTCCAGCCACATTAACAATGCCCAAGCCCTGAGGCATCGAGTTTGCTCCCAAGTTCTGCGAAGCTATTCCCATTCCCTGCGGTAAATTATTCAAATTTCCATTATAGAAGTTGTTAGCAGGACCCAACATAAATCGACCAGTATTGACATCAATAGTTCTTGGACGAGGGTCGGTAGCTGGGCGTAGATGTGAAGATAGGTCAGCTGGTTTAGGATGAGCAGATAGTCTGGTAATGCTGTTACTAGTACCATTAAAGCCTTGTGCATTTGCGTTATCAGTACCGTCACTGTTACTGTAGCACAGGTTACCGTCGCCACATTTGTAGCCGGAGGGACATTGACCGTTGACACATTCTCCTGCCACGCCTATCATGCCAACAGCACAACAGTAATTGTTGGTGTTGCAGGAATAACCAACTGGGCATTTTCCGTTTACGCAGTTACCTAAAAATAGGTTTTTATTTTTTGCACCGTGCAGACTTGTTTATTATTCACTGCACCGTGCAAAAGCTACATAAACTGATTGCACCGTGCAATTTATATCTTTAGTAGCTTACCAATTGATTTTCCAACTGGACAGCGACAACAGTAGTTAGATCTAGTACAGAAGAATCCTTGGCCGCATAGGTTGTTCAAGCACGCTGCTACAGCGTCATCACCGTCACAGGCTCCTGAAATGACATTTTTCATTACCATCTTGCCTTAGTCTTCTCTTTCTCACCGTAATATACTCTTACCGTCTCCTATCGTAACCCTCCTGTAGTGCTACTCCAACCCTATTATAAACTGCTCTACCTTACCTTACCTGGCCTTACCTTACCCTGCTCTTCTCTATACTAGCTTACTCAAACCCAAAATAAAAATTTCTATTTCTACTGTAACCTTACTACTAATACTGTAATTACCGTACCAGTCAAAGTCTTAGCAGCCGGACAACAACAACTTCCAGTGCAAGTGAACTGAGGTAACATGGATTGGCAGGATGCCGCTGGACTGCACGAGAAACAGCTTTGAGGACAATTTGATATATATTGTCGCTTGTTTCGTTTTGAAAGAGTTACTGTAGAGTTATCATGTTTTTCTTTGTCTGAACTGGCATGGGCTACCATTTGGAGCAACAACAATATTGATGTGGATAACAACATGATGTTGTGCTGAAACGAAGCATTTAACAGTTTGGAAGTGGGAAAAATGTAAAATACGCTCGGGCGGATTACGATTTTTTATTTGAACAGATTTTAAAAAATCAATAATTTTGTGACATTCCGTTAAAATGTCCAATAATTTTGTGACATTTCGTCAAAATTTAATAAAAACTTGTTTTTTTCTAAATAAAAGGAAAAATAAACAAAAAATAACTATAAGTCTTGCTATCCCCTCCTTTTTCATGATTTTTAACCACCTTCCCTCCCCCCCCCCAGCTTAAAAAACAATGTACAAAAAACAAGCTGATATCGTATCTTTGGAACAGTATCGTATCGCGCGCACCCGGAAAACGGCCGAATTGAAACAAACTCGGAACTGGGATTGTAAATGAGTAGCGAAACACAAGTAACCTGAGTGGCCTGACCCGTTTCGCTAGAAACATGACCGACGGATTGGTCGTAAAAACACTGAGCCGCTTAAATTCCTTCAGTGCGCGCTAATTTTGGACTGTCATTTCGTTGACTTGGACAGGGAATGCTGTTTTTAGAAATGTAAATAGATTGACACGGGCTTGTCAATATAAATGTATGATCATAAAATTTGAAAAAAAAATTTTTTTCCTGCTTTTGCCTTACTTATCCCAAACTTAGTCCTACTTTTAGGCCTAACTTACAAGGAAAGTACCCGCCCTGCCCCGCTCTGATTGACTTCAAACTTTTTATATAGAAAGATCATGTAAATATAAGATCTTCAGCAAAGTACAATCGCTCTTTCCAGGAAATCTCGAGAAAATCGGGATCAAACAACTGCGTTTTCAACTTCCCGCCAAATTGGCATTCTGTTTCAAGCTTATAACTTTGCTATTTTTTAAATTTTTGAAATTTTTCTTTGGTATACTAGTAGAATACCTTTGAATGAACCTACGTTTTTAAGTTGTAAGCGTAGCTGGTCTGTAAAGTCGAAAAAATGCTTGATACACAATGCCAAATTTGCCAAATTGACGAGAAACTGAAATAATTCAAATTTAAAACTCAAAAGCGCAAGCTAAAATTTTTTATGGATACTATTGGTGGTACAAGAAATACATATAAAAATTTTGGGCTGATTCTGAGCGGGGCAGGTAGGGTACTTTTCTTGTTAGTGTTACCTTACCTTGTTTTCGCTCTAACAGTACTAATTTAGCCTGATTTTGTGAGCTAGGGCTCTAGTGCTTCCCAGCCTTGGCGTAAACCTACCCATGCCCTACTCTAACTTTATATTCGCAAGATAAGCTTAACCCTAGAAAAGCCTAACCTTATTATAGCATACCGTACACCTAATCTATCTCAATTCAAGCTTTACTCTAGCCACACTTTAGCTCTTCACTGATCTATACTCAAGCACTACTATAACTATACTCTAACAGAATCAAGTATAGTTTTTGTTGATACACGTAAATGAGTTTACCATGGTAGAAACCTTGTTTCTTTTTTTGCCCGTTAAAATCGGCTCAACATTCCAATAGAACCTCTACCCACGCCCTCTACCACGTCGTTTTCATGGCTATAGTTTCTGCAATCTTGGCCTAAAACCTTTTTCTGTTGTATTGTATCTTTGTGTTTCTACTCTGTTGTATACTTGCAGTCTCTACTAAGTTATATTGAAGTCTCTACCGTGTTATACTTCTCTATACCTGTCATTATTTTCTATTTTTCTTCTTTACCACACAATCTTTTCTGCTATCTTTTCCGTCTCTTCATCATCACTGTATCTACTATCTACTCTTTGTTACTCCACCTCCTCTACAATCCCGTTTAGTTTACCACACCTACATACCCAGGGTATAATGCCTAATTACTTGTTTAAACATATCATGAATAAATTTTCTCTCAGACCGCTTAAGCCGATCAACGCGCTGAAACTGACTATTGTTGCAAGCTGCGTACAGTCAACTCAGAGTTATTTGGCCGGGTTTTTGAAGATTTATAGGCTGATCTAGGTTTTGTAGTAAAGACATAACTGTAACGAATTATGCAGAACACTTAAACGACGGTTTTAATGGATAAATTTGGGTTAAACAAGCTCTTTAGGCTAAAACTGTGGGCTTTTGAACAACAACCAGAGCCTTGACCACTGTGCTGCTGAGGCCCATTTGAGTATTGATCTAAAGAATCTATGCCAAATGGCCTTTCTTTTCTTCTACCACCTACCTCTTACGTTGGTTTGCAATGGCAAAGGCTAGGGCAAGGCTAGAGTAGAGTAAAACAAAAGTATGCTGGAGTAGGGATGTGGCTAAGATAACGTTAAAGTGAAAGTAAGTTAGAACTAAGATAAGGCTAGAATGGGGCTAATAGTAGGCTAGAGATAAAGCAATGACAAGATACAGCTAAAGTAAGGCTTTTAATAACAAAAAAAATTTAATTTTAGTTTTTTTAAATAAATAAAATTTTAAATTTCAAATATCAGGTGCCGACATAAAGAACCCGCCATACTTTTCCTGTAATTTCCTGCAAAAAATGGCGGGTTCTTTATGTCGGCACATTAACATAAATAAAATTTGAAATTTCAAACAAAAAAATTCTGTACAACGAACAATTTAATACATGAAATTATTAAACAATTATTAAGATATTAAAATACGTTGATTAAATTATCTGCCTCCAGGGGGGCCGCCCGCCGTCACCGGATAACAAAGATTGCCCGCGCCGCAGGCGTAGCCGTCCGGACAGCGGCCATTCACGCATGGGCCTAGCACCGAGCCCGAGCCTAACGAGCAACAATAGTTGTTGGTGTTGCAGGCGTAGCCGGCTGGACACAGGTTGTTCACACATGGTCCTGAAAATGGGTTTGTAAAGAAAATTTTTGCAGTTTGAGCTTTGTAAAGAAAGTTTTTGCTTTTTGAGCTTTGTAACAAAAGTTTCTGCATTTTGAGCTTTGTAAAGAAAGTTTTAGCCATTTTAAGATTTGTAAACAAAGATTTAAGATTTGTAAACTTTACAAACTTTCAAAAATACGGTTTTAGTGAAAACCGGTTTTTAAAGTTAAACATACCAGGTGACGTTCCAGATTGACATCGACAACAGAAGTTCCTGTTGTTGCAGAAGTATCCCTGACCGCATAGGCCGTTTAGGCAAGCTGCCACTGCTGGATCACCGTCGCAGGCGGCTAAAAATAATAAATTAGGTAAAATACGTCCCAGGTTATTGTAAGAAGTTTAATTTTTAAAAAATTTTAACAAATTTTCTGTAAAAAAAGTTAAAAGAAGCTATTTTCGATAGGCGGATTCGAACCTTCATGGTTTGCAACGTTGCGCGAGAGTTTTTGCAATACACCACATAAGTACACAAACTAACAGATTGAAAAAATACCCTAAAGACATAAAGCCTTCAAAAACTCACACGACAAATTCGTTTGAGGACAACAACAACCCAACATGCACACCGTAGCCACCTGATACCGCTGACATTGTGCATTGTTCATACACGACGAGTAGCACCCCGACGGACATCCGTACTGTCGTTTCACTCGCGTCGAGTTGCCATCGTGCACTGTATCGTCATTCTGCATTTCATGGTCTACGGCCGCCGCCAATAACGAGGATTTTTTGACTTCAGTTGCGTGATATAATGTGACAAAGTGTAGGATGAGGACAGCACCAAGCAAAAGAGAGTGCTTGTACAGCTTTGGCTCCATTGGTGTCGAAGCCAAAAAGATTTTGGAATGTTGTTGAATGCAAACCCCTTAAATATAGAACTTAGAGTGAGATTTGATATTTAAATAATAATTTTAATTAACGACAGTTAAAAAACTTTAAAACTTGAAATTTCGAGTGTAAGTGCCCTTCGTATAACATGTCACCCGCAGCCTGCCGAAGCTAAAGAGCTTCTTTTGACTGAGGCTTCATTCCTTGGCCAAAAATAAATAAAGCCACAACTGTATGCTTTAAAAATTGTTAGTTAAAAACCTTCCCCTTTCTCCGAACATACCATCACTTTAAAAATTTCTTCCCCCCCCCCCTCTCTCCGCCTAGGCCGAAAACCATTTTGCTTACAGTAAAATCTGGACGACCGTAAATCATAAAAAAAGCAACAAATTACAGTAAGTCCGTAAACAAGAAACCCCATTAAAACCGTAAACAAGATGTTACAGTAACCCATATGGCCCCACAACAACCGTAAACAATATATTTACGGCTGCAAAAGGAAGAAAACACGGAACTAAAAATAAAGGGCTCCTCCACCTTCGCGGAGACGCACCCGTCTTCAGGTGGACCCAAGAAGATAAACAAAGGTTGAAAGGGACATCAGATTTGACCGTCCGGAAGAGCAAACGAAGAGTTTCAAGCCCCCGAATCATCTTCTGGATCAAAACGAATGCTTAAAACAAACACAGGGGGATTTGAAGTTTTAAATGGTTAATGTAAAATACGTGTATTGCTATTTGGCCATCAGAAGGATAATTTTGTTTTTGTTATGAAAATTTTTTTTTAATTTTAATTTTTTTTACTAAAAATAAAAAAAACATTTTTTCTTTGCCATACTAGTCAAAGTTTTGCTTATCACAGTTACTCTTAATCACAACTAGCTTAGTACAGACGTGATCATCTGTTAACCATAAAGAAATATACTATAACAAAGCGGCTTATATTCTACATAGTATAGGTCATTAATAACAAAAAATGCGCAAAAAAAGAGAAAGAAACAAAGAAAGAAAGAAAGAAAGTTTTGTAACCCAACCAAAAAGCAAGTGAAGAAAATTACCCGTTTTCATTTAGGATCATGCTTCAGCTTGAAGCAAGAGAAGAGTTTAAATTTACCGCTGAGATAGTTAGTATTATCTGCTAGTTGACTTTCAGAAGTGACTGAGCTCAAATTTCTGTCAACTTGTTTTTGAATGAGCTCTAGAATACCAGAGCTCGATATCCACCTCCAAACATCATTTCAATATCAACCTCCAAAATCATTTTTAAAATAATCTCTTCATGATAAGATGAGATAAAAACACGTTGTGAAAAATTCTCCCACAGCATACAAAATTCAAAAAAGAGTACTTGTCAAAAGTTGTAGTCCATTCGAGAAATTCTTTTTCGCTTACTTTTTTCAATCGCCGACTTAAGACCGCACCAATAGGATTAGACGGGTCATAAAAAGACAGGTAAGCCGGTCATCATGTTCAATAAATACCATTGCATGTCGTGCACTGGGATCAGACTAGTCTATGCTAGCGTCGTGCACGATACTTTTTTGGCATACTAGGTTTGTATTGAAAGTTTTGGCCGTTTTTTTTGTTTTGTAGGGTAAGTTTTTGCTAGTTTGGGTGTTGCGATGAAACTTTTTGCTGTTTTTACGTTTGTAAAGAAATTCTTTGCAATGTAAATTTTAAAAAATTTTACTACTTTAAAGTTTAAGCCTAAAATTCAAATTAAGGCTAAAATTTTAGAAAAATTAACCATGTATTTTAAAAAAATAGGCTTAAACACCCAATTAAGCCTAACGCATAAAAACATTCATTAGACCGTCGAAGTAAAAAAACATGTTAATTTACAAAATATACATTAAGAAATGACCAAAACAATAAAAATCGACACGCTTTGAAAAACTTTGAAAATTTTGCATCAAGTGCGCGAAAACCGAAGACCCTTACTGCCCCGAGGGGGAAAAGAGTTAAAGGCCAATGTTTGCTCGAAGACCATCGCTTTTTCACCTTTTGGTAATTTTACAGCCAAATTTATTTCACTGTGAGGAAAAAATAACTGTAGACGAGCAAAGTAGAGAGTTCAAGTAGGTGGTCGGTTATCTGTCGTTTCAAGTTGTTGATTTTTTCAACTGCTTTACAACAAAATGACGACAAATGCGTCAGAAAAATGACCAAAGGCTTGGCAAAATTTGTTCCCAGTTTACTTTGCTCTTCCCCACCCTACTTTACCCTACCCTACCCTACCCTACCCTGCCCTACCTTACCCTACCCTACTCTACTTTACCCTACCCTACCTTTCTCTACTTCACCCTACCCAACCGTAGTCTACCCTACTCAAACGTTGTATGTTTTGCACTACATTACTTTGCACTGCCCTTATTCATCTTGTCTTAACTTGCCTTACCTTGACCTGCACTATCATAGTATTATAATAATTCACAAGCCTTCCTCTCTTGACACATATGACTTAAAAAAATATGATCAACCCACAAACAATGATAAAAGTTAGTACAATAATAAGTTAAAATCTTATATACTTCTCCAAACCTAAGCGTAAGCTTGTTTGTGAAATGATTCATGTGTCTAGAGTGACCGCATAATAGAAGATACAAATATCACCCAGTTTGTTTATATATATGACGGTTAAGCGGCTTGCGTGGTACCCGAGTGGACAATAACTGGATCAACAACAATCAAAACAAAAGGTGGAAACGTGCAATACGTTCGCATTGGTTCGTGTTGCAGTTTATAGTATAGGATCAAGCTGGATACTTAGATTAGTAAGGTCAGTTTAGGTTACAGTAGACTACTGTAAACCAAAGAAGGTTACAGTAGACTACTATAAACCTAAAGCCAAAGCTATGGCTAGGACAAAGATAATATAACATCCAAAAATTTTTGTCAAAGTTTACTGTAACCAAAAATCCATAAGTGAAAACAATAGTAAAATTAAAAGTGATATGAGCAGTAAAATATTACAATAGAGTACCCTGATTTTTAAATGTAATAATATGCATTGCAATGTGTTTACAATATGATATGAAGTAGTAAAAACAAAACTGTAGGTAAATAGATACAGTATGATAGAAAAACACTACTCGTACTAACCAAAATTACAATTATAAAAAAAGTAGAGAGCTTGGTACTGTACAGTACAAGAAGTTGGTACTACATAGTATCATGAAAGTGGTACTGAATAGTACCACAAAGATGGTACTGAATAATACCACAAAGGTAGTACTGAATAGTACCACAAAGATGGTACTGAATAGTACTAAATAGTAATCACAAAGTAAATGCTATATAGTTCAATAAAATTGACACTATATAGTACTATCAAATAGTACATAAAAACCATAAAAAATAGCACTAAATCGTACTAAAACAAAATTGATAATAGTACTATATAGCACCGTAAATCAAAAAACAGTCAAATTTCAAAGTTTTCAAATTTAGACAACAACTTCTTGGCCAGAGCCGTGGCCAGATCCATGAACTTCTTCCGAAGACTCGGATGAAACGTCACGACGTCTTCGGACAACAACCTCTGATCCCGATCCTTCAACTTCAGCTTCACGTTTGGCTACACTGTCCTTGACTTCAATTCCAGAACCTTCGACGTCGGCTTCACGCTTGTGGCGGGATTCCTGGAATTTGAATTTTAAAAAATAAAAGAAAATGGCAAGAACTTTCTTTACAAGACACAAAATGGAAAGAACTTTGTTTACAAATCATAAAATGGCAAGAACTTTCTTTACAAATCGTAAAATGGCAAGAACTTTCTTTACAAAGCAGAAAATGGCAAGAACTTTCTTTACAAATCGTAAAATGGCAAGAACTTTCTTTACAAAGCAGAAAATGGCAAGAACTTTCTTTACAGAATAAAAAATGAAAAGAACTTTCTTTACAAATCATACAATGGCAAGAACTTTCTTTACAAATCGTAAAATGGCAAGAACTTTCTTTACAGAATGAAAAACGGCAAGGAATTTCTTTACAAACTTAAAATGGCAAAAAGTTTGTTTACATACAACAAAATAGCAAGAACTTTCTTTACAAATCAAAAAATAACAAGAACTTTCCTTACAAACAATTTTTTTTATTTTTGAATTAGCTTACCTCAACTTCCTCTCCAGAAGCTTCTCGGACGATCCGTTCTCCAGAGCCTTCTTCAACACTTTCTGTCGATTCGGCCGATCTTTTTTGCACTTTTACGTTGACTTTTTCAATCAAATTCTCCTCTTCGAACATTTTTCTCAACGAAAACGCATTGATAACGGCCAAGAAAGCCAAGGCGATGAATAGAAAGATGATGAAACGCATTTTAATCTGTAGAGGGTTCTGAAAAATTAATGATTTTGATGAAAAAGGCATCAAAAATGGCATAAAAATGTCAATATCGGTCAAAAAATCGCGAAAAACATTTTTTAAATTTTAAAATTGTCATAACTTGTTTTACAGTCAAAAATAGCAATAACTTTCTTTCCAAAACCGAAAATGGCAAAAACTTTCTTTACAAAACAAAAAGTAGCAAAAACTTTCTTTACAAAACCCACAATGATGAATAAGTCGTAATGTAGTATACCACTTGCTACTGTTACTACATATACCGTCGCTACTCCTCTATCATTACTCCTCCCACTATTAACTACATATAACAAAACCAAAAAAAATGTAGAAAAGAAAGCAGATGGCAACAAAATTGTTACAATATTTTTAGTCACCCGAGCCATATAACCCCATTAGAATAGTGTAAAAAAGTTTGTTATGGGTTACTAGTTGATAATAAGATTGAAGTTCACGTGAGCTCACGTGAACTTCCTTGTACTAACTATTTATATATATTATAGTTAGAGTCAGACTAGACTGTAAACATATTTTTCTGTATCTCAAGGAATTTTTGGTGATATGATAAATTAGTTTTGTAATTGGTAATACCCTACATTACTATACCTTAAGCTACCGTACACTACCGTACCCTATATTGTCTTACCCTACCCTAACCTGTGTAATTCTACAGTATCTTATATTACCCCGCTCTGCTCTATTATGTACTACTCTCTCCTACTCTATCCCATCTTGCCCTGCCTTACCATACTTTGCCCTATCATATACTATTCTACCCTCTACATATTACTCCTTCTTACCTTAGTTTAAACTTTAAAGTAAAAACTGTCTAAAATGATGACTAAAGCAGATCACAAGAAAGTTCAAACATCATCTGCGTGACTTCAGACGGCTTAATAACAAAGTCATCAATTTACACTCAACTTAAACGCAATTCAACCTCATATCGTCAGAAGATGACGTTCGTTTATCGTACGAGAACCCGGGAAAAATCATATGGTAGGAAAAGTAGCGCAATATAAAAATAGTGGCAGTGACCTACAATAGCCCTGCCATACTTTACCCTACCCTACCTTACTCTACTCTACCTTACTCTACTCTACCTTACCCTACCCTACCCTACTCTACTCTACCCTACCTTGCTCTACTTTACAATACTTTACTCTACCTTTCTTTGCCCTGCTTTTTTCCGGCCTTTCCCTGCCTTGTCACACACTGCCCTACCCTACTCTACCCTAGCCTTTAAAAACTATCATTACTATCAAACACCTTACCCTACCCTATATAGCCCAGACCTTAAAGATCCCTGCCCTATTATTAAAACGCGTGTTCTATCTTTAAAACCCTTGCCCAAAGCCTAGAAATTTTAGAACTAACTAACTCACCAATCCTAAAACCTCACCCTTCCGCCCAAACCCTTAGCCGACCAAACAACAAATTAAGAGTCTAATTAGAGCCCTTTAAAGCCTCCCCCCCCCCTTCCAACTTTATGCCGATTTCGCCGTTCCCGAGCCAGTTTTTGCTCGACTAGCTCTCGATTATTTCAACGTTCGCTTGATTCGTCTTCACGTCACATTAAAAGAACGGCGCCAAGTGTCAACGACATAATTACGTCGTTGTGTGTGGTTAATTGGAGATTATTTATGGCGATGGCACCGAGAACAAGATGTTTTTTAAAGTTTCGGTAATTCGGAGTGACTTTCACTCAAATCGCAAAAAATTTTGGTTTGTAGCGGAAAATGGAAAGAACTTTCTTTACAATTCAGGAGTTAACAGGAACTTATTTTATGAAAAGTGAAATGGCAAGAACTTTCTTTACAAGACACAAAAAATGGCAAAAATTTTCTTTACAAAACGAAAGATAGAAACAACTTTCTTTCCAGCATGAAAATTGCAAAAACTTTCTTTAAAGAACATGAGATGGCAAGAACTTTCTTTACAAAACCGAAAATGGCAAGAACTTTCTTTACAATATAAAAAATAACAAAAACTTTTATCAAGACTTAAAATGCCAAAAACTTTCTTTCCAGCATAAAAAATGACAAAAAATTTCTTTACAAAACAAAAAATGGCAAGAACTTTCTTTACAAATCAAAAAATGGCAAGAACTTTCTTTACAAATCAAAAAATGGCAAGAACTTTCTTTAAAAACCAAAAAATGGCAAAAACTTTCTTCACAAAACAAAGAATGACAAAAACTTTCTTTACAAAGCCCACAATATCAAATACTTTCTTTCCTTCCACCAAATCCAAATCCAACAAGCAGCTCGACCGTGACGACTTACATTGTTATCATTCGAAAAAATGTTCAAAAATCCCAAGAATTTGACAAAGAATCAATTAAAAGTCAAAATGTTCCACCACGCCCCTTGCACATGAAACGATGAAAATTCGACTTTCAGCGACTGTTGATGAATCGTTTGGTTGATTTGTTTCAGGGCAAAAGTCACTTTCGCGCGGTCGATTCAGGTTCCCGCGTACTATTTGAGCAAATGTAAACGGATTCGAACGCCCCTCGAGATTAATGGGCGTTATCATAGATTAATGGGCTTTATCATAATCAAAGGGATAATGATTTGTTTTGCAATGGAACGATCCAGACATAGCTGAACGCCGTTTTGTCATTTTTTGGGAAAAAATAACATTTTTATGGGGTTACGCTACAGAAATAGAGTTATCGTTAAGAGGAGGTGAGGGTGGGGGGGGCTACCCTACTTTACCCAAACCTGCCTTATCCTACCCTATCATATTCTTTCCTATCTGACCCAATGATACTGTTCTCTACCCTACTTTACCCGAACCTACCCTACACTGTAGTTTTACCATTACCTCGTCTTGTAACAACTATACTTCTTTCTTTTCTTAAAGCCTATATATTAAGTTGAACCAAAAGTAGCGGGACACTTTTCATTTATTTTTCAACTAAAAAGTGTCTCCTACTTTCGGTTCAACATAATATGTAGGCTATAAGAAAAACAAGAAGTAGAGCTGTCATAAGGCAAAGTAACGGAAAACCTACAGGATAGGGTAGGTCCGGGTAAAGTAGGGTAGAGAACAGTAGCATTGGGTTAGGTAGGGAAGAATATGATAGTGTAGGATACGGTAGAGTACGGTAGAGTAGAAAAGATTAGGGTGGGGTAAGGCAGGCTAAAGTAAGGTAAGATAAACTGAGATAGACCAAATTAGAGTAGGATAAGGGACGTCGTTGGGGGGGAGGTTATATGGGGTGGAGGTACCCCCTATCAATTCGCCGATCCAAAAAAAATCCACAGGCACCTGTACGCAAAAAGTAAAAAAAAATTTTTTTTTCACACACACAAGTACCGGTAGACAAAAAAATTTTTCGACCTCTCCCCCCTCCCAGGGAAATTCCGTAGCGACGTCCCTGAGTAGGATAAAGTTCAATAAGGTAGGTATGGCAGAGTAGCGTGACCAAAAATACTATAAAACCAAAAAATTTAAAATTTTTATACTACAAAACTCCCATAAAATTCAATTTGAAACCTCATAAAAAGACTACATTTAACTTTTTTCAATTTCAGAGTCATAAGTCAAGTTTATCAAACAGTAATAACAATAAGTCGGAATGGCTTGTTACTGTGCAAATAACGAGATTTATACGAGTTTCTTATTGAGTGACAACTAAAAACCAAAAATTAAGCAAATATACTAAAAATGACTTTTATATGTAGTTTAAAAAATTTTCAAGTCATAAGATCATAAAAAGTCATTGCCGTTTTGTAAACAAATTTTCTGGGGTTTCAAAGGGGGGGGGGTGAAAAATTATACAAAGAAATTATGACAAATTATAATATTAGGTGTCGACATAAAGAACCCGCCATTTTTTACAGGAAAGTACACGCAAAGTATGGCGGGTTCTTTATGTCGTCACCTAATATAAAAAAAATAAAATTTTGTTTTGTAAAGAAAGTTTTTGCCGTTTTTATAAAAAATAAAGCGTAAATGTCAAAACATATACGTTTTTTATGTTGTCAACATTCCGCAACTTCCATCAAAGCTAAGCTTGATTGGCAAGTGTAATATAAAATTGTAACACATTTAAAAGCCCATCAATCAATGAAAGTTTTGTGGAAAAGTTTTACTTTTTATGAGTGCAGTCGGTCCCACGTAGAAATGAAAAAAGATAGCTAACACACGTGAATGATTGGGGTTTCACAGCTACTTTTACCTTACTTCGACTAAAGAAAGAAACCCTTTTTTTTTAAATTGAACAAGAAGCCTACGTTAAATTTTTTTCAAAATGTTTTTTCTAGTTATCCTCTCCCCCTTCTACCATACTCAAGTCCTCCTACATCTATCGTACCCTCCCTAACTCACTATCAGCGTACACTAACCTATCATAACTTAATGTTTCGTAAATAAACCCCGTCGTAGTTTGCCACACCCTACCTCTACCCAACCCTACTTTTCATAACCTACCATACCCAAACTTGCCTTACCCTACTACCTAAAATTTCCTTCCACATACGGACAGTTTTTGTAAAATTCCAAAAATAAAAGATCTAATCTTAAGATATTATAATAGTTAAAAAGCCTTGTGATCTCGAGTATCATCTAGCTTTACACAGCGTTCCAGATCAAATACGATTAAAAAAACGTATTATTCATCATCAAAAAACCTTAATTTTTCAAAATTTCACATTTTTAAGCAAATTTTTTTCGACCGGTCGATTTTACAAATTTCAAAAAAAAATTTTAAACCCCAAAAAGACCAAAATATATTGAGCAGTAAATTGATATGCCCATGGTAAAACACTTATATCCATACAACAATTTATCGACCGGTCGATAATATAAAAACTTCAAAATCCCCAAAACCGTCAAAAATTTCCCAAAGACGATACGTCGACTGAGAGACAAATGACCCACCCACATACATCTTCATATCTACCTTGAATTGATCAACTCAAGCCAACAAAGCCCCTTATTATGAATGCTCCCATTATTTATAGCCGGCAGAGAGAGATCATGAGAATGAAGAGGAGGTAGGGAAAAGAAAAAATAACTTTGTTCGTTTCTTGATCGCCGTAAGATATCATGGCTATGTGACAGATGGAAGAATGTCACGCAACTATCATGTGGACAACATGAGGTAGGTTGAGGTCAAAAAGTTTTGGCAAAATTGTTTATTTAGAGAAAAAATTGAACAGAAAGACCAATTCAAAGAATAAATGGCAAGAACTTTTTTTACAAAACAAAAAATGTCAATAACTTTCTATACAAGAAGCAAAAAACCAAAAAATACAAATCTATCGTATAACATATCCCCCGCAGGTTGCAATCCACAAAACAATCCTACTTCAATACAAAAACTTTCTTTACAAACAACAATGACAGAACATAGCACTTTATATAAACCCAAGATATCTGATAGAACTTTCGCGAGCCGCAACATACGATATCACGATCAAAGGTAACCTTTAAAGGTTTTATAATCCATTTTACGACAAAGGTACGACACAAGATACGAAGTAAATATTCATGCCACAAAAGGCAAGAACAAATAAAAATTTATAAAAGTCTCGACCGGTCGATTTTTCAAAACTATTCGACAAAAATCTTTTGATAAAAAATTTATCGACCGGTCGATTTCGTAAAAAAACCTAAAACCACAAAAAACAAATAACAATTAAAATAAAACAAATGACAATTCAAACAAAAACAAATAATAGCCGATAAAGCCCAAAATCAGTCGTTTATTCAATTCTTCTTGCGAATCACAAAATGGCAGATGATGTAGATGATGACGGCGACGACGACGAGGAAACCCTGAAATAACAAAATTAGTTTAAAAATAAAAAATACACAAAATTAAAAAATAATTTTAAAAAAATAAAAAATAATTTTTTTCAAAATTCAAAAAAATCCAACTTACACCATAAACGGGGTAGTAACTGATCAAGCCCAAAATCCAGCCAAGAATCGTGATGACCATAGTGACAATGTTCCAGATCAAGTCCACCTTGTCATTAATGTTCTTGCCCATGATCAGCATTACGCAGTAAACCGCGTACACCACCCACGCCGCGATAATGACTGCCGGAGCAACGTAGAACACAGGCGAATGACTACAATAGTAAGTGCCATCCTCAATGTAACCACGATCACAGCCGTATTCGCCACCACCCCAGATGACCATCATCAACAAGAAGCCGAGAAGGGAAAACGCCACCGACATGGTCCAGCACTGAAAATGACGTAAAATAAAGCATAACACTATAAAAATTCAGAAATTATCAAATTCATGCTTAAATTACCAAAACTAAGCCTAATAAGCCTAACAAACAAAAATAAGCCTAAAACTCAAAAATAAGCCTAAAACGGCGCTAGGACAAATGCGGTTTTTGGACATTTGCGGATCTGCGGTTTTTAGACACTTGCGGATCTTCGGTTTTTGGACACTTGCGGATTTTGGACATTTGCGGATTTTTTAAAGGTTTTTTTTTATTTTTTAGTTAATTTAGTTGTATTATGGTGCTAAATTGTACTAAAGTTTGAATTGGTACGATTTTAACATAACAGTACCTTTTTGGGCTTTTAGTACTATTTAGTACCAAAAATATAAAAACAGTACCGATTAAAAATTTAGTACTATTTAACATTAACAAATATTAAAAATTTAGTACTATTTAACATTAACAAAAATATTAAGACAGTGCCAATTTAAACTTTAGTACCATTTAGTACCATACTACAACTAAATTAAATTTAAAAAAAAAACCCTTTAAAAAATCCGCAAATGTCCAAAATCCGCAAGTGTCCAAAAACCGAAGATCCGCAAGTGTCTAAAAACCGCAGATCCGCAAATGTCCAAAAACCGCATTTGTCCTAGCGCCCCTAAAACCCCAAAAATCCACTCTAAAACAAGGTGAAACTCACGAAAATGCAAGTCCGCAAGATCAGGAAACATTTCGTCTTCAACTCGTCGACAGTGACACCACCGCTTCCACCAGTGCTGCTCATGATGTGAGAATTAATCAGGAATTCAGGAGTCTGGCAAATGCGTCCGCACCGCAGCCAGTCAGTCGATTGAAATGAACAATTTCCCAAAACCACTGTTCAAATCGCGAACTTTCATGTCGTGAATTTGCATATCTGAAAAGTGCCAAATTAATTTTTTTCGAAATATTCAAATTTTTACTTTTTTCAAAAAAACCAAAAAATATTATCCATGACCAAAACCAGATGAAACTCTTTGAAACAAGCCTAAAAGTGAGACAACCAAAGCAAAAGTAAAACCTACATGTTCATCAACTTATTCTGCTTTTAATTTACCCCATTACATCGCATTTGCCTTGTCACGTTGCCTATTCTGATACTTTTACCAAACCGCGGCATGGTGAAGATGTTCCTCATCAAAGCAACCTAAACACAGATAAAACTAAAGCAAACGTTATACTCACATATATATTAACTAATTCTGCGTCTAATTAACCGTATTCCATCGTATTTACCACAGTATCTGGTTTGCTCATTCAGTTTTCCTTCAGTTTCCACAAAAACGGCATGGTGAAGAGGTTGTTCCGACTATAACTGCAAAATCGTCCTTTTCTTAATCAATTTCTTTATTCTAAAACATTAAAAACATAAAATACAATAATAAAAAAACAAATTATTCGTATTAAAATTATTTTTTTGCGCAATATAACGGTTTAAACCTGATTATAGTGATGAACAAAGGTAAAAACTACAGGCAAAGACATGATCATGTATAGAAAATACCCAAAACGAGAACATAATCGAAATGGAGACATGATCGAAACGAAGACGTGACCAAAACGAGGAAATACTTGAATTGGGGGCATGATCAAGCCTGGGACATGATCATGCCAGACGGAAAATAAGTTCCGAACGGAAACAATCGCGACCGAAAGACTTGCAAATCGCGCTTGCAAACTTATACGATGAAATGTGTCCGCAGGGAACAAAGTAAATAGTTATTTTTAATAAATTTATAATCATAACAAGTATATTTTGATGTTACTTTACATAACTTCAAAATTTCTTTGTTTTTTCATGTTTTTAAAATTTTTTTATTATTCCTAGTTTTGTAAAGAAAGTTTTTGCGTTTTGTTTGTTTTGTAAATAAAGTTCTTTCCTAGACAAAAAGTCACCTTTTGGGATCTCTGATGAAAAGCATGTACTATTTTACTATTAATTAACTCCTCTTTTAATTCTTTCTAAAAACCAACTTTTTGCTCGAAAATTTAATTTGCTGTCCCTTTGTTAACAATGAAACAGGAAACATTTGTAACTTTTTTAAGTAGTTCGGTTGCAAACGTTACCAGAAAATGATGTATAAGGTTTTCTACTAGAAAATAAATTTCTAATTGAGAAAGTATTTTTGTAAAGAAAGTTCTTGCCATTTTCTGTTGTGGAAAGAAAGTTCTTGCCACTTTATGTTTTGGAAAGAAAGTTCTTGCCATTTTATGTTTTGTAAAAACAGTTCTTGCCATTTTTTTCTTTGTTAGGAAAGTTCTTGCCATTTTTGTTCTGTAAAGAAAGTTTTTGCCATTTTTTGCTTTTTAAAGAAAGTTCTTGCAATTTTTTGTTTCGGAAATAAAGTTCTTGCCATTTTGTGTTTTCTAAAAAACGTTTTGGCCACTTTATGTTGTGTAAAGAAAGTTTTTGCGTTTTTATGAAAAATACCAAAAAATTTTTTCATTTTGCACCCCCAAGTGCCAATTTATACTTTAAAAATAAACTTATTTTAAAAAAATGCAAATTCAAAGGCAAATATTGACAACTTGCGGTTTTTTTGCAACTGTTACCTAATATTTCCGGCTCGTTCGGCCGTATTTTTTCGAATTTATTGGATGAAAAACAAACAAATAATTCGATATAATAAACATTCCTTTTTCAGACCGAAAAATGGAAAAATAAACCGGTTAAGGAAGAGAAAATGGAAAGTTGTTAACAGTGTAACATTGTTATTAGTTTACTTTTTCAACTGTCTTGTGGCGATACGATGGTTTTTCGATGGTAAAATCACATTGGGTTTATTGTACTTTTGGGTTTTTGGCTTGGTTTTGTGGGGTTAGTTTTTTTGAGAGTATGGTAAGTTTTTGGGTGGGCAGAATTTGGGGAGAGGCTTGGCTTGTAGGGCAGAATAGCGTTTTAAAACAACCCTACTTTAATTGAAATCTACTTTTACTCTAGCCGAATCCTAGCCTAACTCTAGCGCTATCATACCTATCTCACCTCCTCGTGCCTGTGTTATAGCACTACGCTACCTATCGCACCCCCCCCCCTTCTTTCAATGCTTATAGCACTACCGTACCTATTCCACTCCTCTCCCCCCTTCTTATGCTATCGCACGACCCTACCTATCCAAACTCCCCTTGTCTTTGCTATAGCACTATCGTACTTATCTCACCTCCCTTATCCTGTGCTATAGGAGGTCCTGCATATCTCACCTTCGCTTGATTCTGCCATAGCACTTCCAGACCCTTATGAAATTCCTAGCTTAGCTCCTACCACACCTACTGTCAAACTACCTTCAATGAATCACCCACGCTTTTTAATAACGATTCTAATAATTGTACAAGGTTAAAATCATTCTTCATATTGACGCGATTACAGTGACACTTTGCTTCTGTCATTCTTAGTAAAAACCCTCTTTTTCGTCCACTTTTGTTGTAAAATTAACTTGCTGTAATTTGCGGAAAAACAAATTCAAAGTAATCGAAAAGCTAATCAGTGTTTTGTTGTTCGTATCAACAAAAAGTCCTCTTTTCTGTGTAAAGAAAGTTTTTTCCGTTTTTTATGAATTGCCAATGACAATCTAGGTTAATTTCCGAGTCTTTTGCAATTGGTTTTGCAAGTTATTAATATTAAAAAATGCGGATGAATTGAGTATTTTGTCAAAAGAATCGGGAAGATATATATCATTTTGGGCCGGTGAAAATAGGCTTGTTTTTGTGGCCGCACGAGAAGAAAATTTTTTTTACGAAATGACATTTTTCACATGGTTTTGCATCTCTTGATCAACAACAACAACATCGAGTTAAGTTGCAATTTTATTATATTTATTTTACATTCTTCAAGCGTCTACAATTACAATTTGGAAGATGTAGATTAGATTAGTCGATTATTTGATGCTGTAGGTTGTAACGTACTGTACTGATATAGGATGTTGAAGGTTTATATGAAGGCTAGCGGAGCTATCCTTGAATCTCACGTTTCCCATAAACCCCCAGAGCCATAGCCCCACAGCCCTAGCCCCAGGCCCCTAGTCCAAAGCCTTAGCTCAGAGCTCTGACCATAGAGTCCTAGCCCCGGCAGTGTTTTGCCGGACCGGTCCGGCTCTATTTTTTTTCGCTAAGGTCTGGTCTGGTCCGGACCAAAAAGGTCAGGTACGGAAAGGGCCAGGAGCGCTAAAACTGCTTTCTTTACGTTTAAAAACTCTTAAAAATATGTTTTATTTGCAATTTTTAAAACAGTTTTATTAAAATAAAAAAAATTTTTTTCCGGACCGGTCCGGACCGGACGGGTCCGGCAAAACACTGCTAGCCCCAGAGCTGGAGTTTCAGAGCTCTAGCCCCAGAGCCCTGGCCTCAAAGCTCTAGCTCAGAAAACTAGCTCAGAGACGTGGCCTAAAGCCCCAGTTCAGAGCCCTAGCCTAGAGTTCAAGTCCAGAACCCTAGCCTGAGAGCCCTAGCCCCATAGCCATAACACAGAGTCCTAGCCATAAAGCCTTAGTTCAGAGCGCTAGCCATACTCATAGCTTTTGCTCTAGCTCCAGAGCCCTAACCCCAGAGCCCTAGTCCCACAGCTCTAGCCATACTCATAGCTTTTGCTCTAGCTCCTAGCTCTAGACCTAGCCAGAGCCATGCTCTAGCCCAAAGCTTTAGCTTAGAGCTCAAAGCCCTACCTTTAGTTTGTCATTAGACATAAGGAACGGGCCGGACCCATTTTTTAGGCCAAACCCAAATTTTTTTACGAGCAGACGGGTCCGGTTTTTTGGGCCAAGCTGGGCTTTTTCTGTCCCGGCCCGATCTAAATTTCGTTCAGGCCCAGCCCGTTTTCCATATCTAGTCATTTGCTCTGTTATGACTTGTATGTTCATTCATATTACTGTAATTGATTAGTTACGCATTGTCAGTTTGATTAAATTATTCAATGTTTTCGAATTGGCTTACGTTTTAAGAAGTTAGGGTTGTAACGTACGTGGGTGGGTGAATTTTGATACGAACGGTTGGTTATGTTGTTGTAACAGCTATTTTTTACTTGTTACGTTAGGCTTTACCTTTTTTACTTGTTACCTTTAGGCTTTATTTTTATTTTTACTTGTTACTTTTAGGCTTTACTTATTATATCGTTTCGTTTACTCATGAGAATTTAGTACTACTTCAGAAAAAACTACGGTAACAAGCTTAAAGAGATTAGTGTTTAAAACAATACAAACATATAAATCTATAACAATGTGTAGTTTGATGTTTTCTCACAGCGAAAAAAGCATGATTAAGAATGTTGCTCATACATTCACATATGAATGTTCAATTTGCGTTTGTTTTTTGTTTGTTATGGTTATTTATCGTAAAGCCACTGATAAAAACTGGGTTACGAATGATAACTAACTATGTTATAGTTGTTATTACGATGATACATCTTCATGATATTATAGTAATTTTCAAAGACAAAATTGCTAGGTAGCCATAGTTCGTTGTAACATATATTTTACTACTAAACCTAGACAGTTTTTTATAAATGGGTCTTAATGATGTACATGTGTCTGGCTGTACGTATTTTCCTGAGTATGGGACTGTTGAAATTTGTAAGTGTTTTTAAAATGAATGTGATTTACTTGTCTTTAGTACAGCTTACTTTACTTTATTATAACCTTAGCTTTATCCTAGCCGGTGTCTCCCCCCGCCCCCCTAGCTAAGCCCTACTATAACCTTGCCTTAGCTTTGCATTACACCGCTAAGTTAAGCTTAAACTAAGCCTAAACTACGCCTAAGCTAAGCCTAAAGTAAACCTAAACTAAGCCTAAGCTAAGCCTAACCTAAGCCTAAGCTAAACCTAAGCTAAGCCTAAGCTAAGTCTAAGCTACGTCTAAGCTAAGCCTAAGCTAAGCCTAAGCATACGCTTAAGTTAAGCCTGAACCTATAGCATAATAGAGCCTAAGCTTTTGCCTTATACAATTGTTTCAAAGAACGCTGGCGTTACGTATAATGCTCTAGACTTGCCTTACCACTGCCTAATCTTACACTATTTCTACCTTGGTCTACGACTGTTGTTACACTTTTATGCTCTTCCCTATCCTAATTTTTACTCTAGCTCCTTTTATACGTTTTTTATAACTGTCGCATTAGACTTAACTACTCTGCTGGGAGCATAAAACACGATAATTATTTCCATAAGAATGGAAATCATTCGTTTCGACCTTTTATAAAATAAAAAAAAATCTTTTAAAATTTCACCTTTTGACACCGTAATGTGTGGTCAATGCATTAACACAATCATTTCCTTGCCATTCCTTACCAAACACAAAGGCCACAATAAACGTTTACAGCCCAAATACGTTCCCAACTGTTTAAGTGGGCCGAAACGTTTGCGGCCGACAATTTTTGACTCCATTAATGTTTTAAGTACGTTATGTATGCATGTTGGAAAAAAAGAAATTTTATTTCCATTGTTTTTTTACTAATTAGATATTTATGAACTTGTTTTTTTAGCGGTTTAGCTCAAATTTTGAAGTTGTTTACTTGTGCTAGCAGTCTTTTTCAAAAAAATTATGATTTTAAAATTATTTTTATGTCATCAAGCAGGCAATTTAGCTTTACTTTAGATTAGAATTAAAAAAAGCTTTCGCACGAGCTTAAGCCTAAGACTATTTAGGCCTGATTCTAAACTAGGTTTTAACTCACTAAACTTTAATTTTAGGCTTAAGCTTAGGTTTAGGCTGAAGTAAAGCTAGAATTCAGCTTCAGTTCTGAACTAAACCTAACCTGTCCAAGTTAAGCCTAAGTTGCGCCTAATCCTAAGCCTAACCTCAGCCTAACCTAAGCCTAAGCTAAGGCTAAGCTAAGCCTAAGCCTAAGCCTAAGCTAAGCCTAAACCTAAGCCTAAGCCTAAGCCTAAGCCTAAGCTAAGCCTAAGCTAAGCCTAAGCTAAGCCTAAGCTAAACCTAAGCTAAGCCTAAGCTAAGCCTAAATCTAAAATTTAGCTTTATCTTCAACCTATGTTTCAGCCTAAGCCTAAGCTTTTACCTTACATAATTGTTTCAAAGAACACACGTAGAATAATTACAATTCTCAGTAAGAATATTGTATTATCTAATCCTGAAAACGTTTCGCAGTAATCTGACAACATTTTCTCACATTAGTCAAATGAGAAACCCTAAAATTTACACTTAAGAAAGCCCTAAACATATATCATAAACTGCCAATTTTAATAATTTTCGACCGATAAACTGTCTGTACTAATGAAAAAGGTTGAAAGGCTTTCGGGATTTTTTATTTAAAGATAATTAAAGTGGCATATTACCCTTGTATGTTATCTTTTTATATAGTTTAACATGATTAGAGGGGCTAACTGCGTAAATAGTAAATATATATTTTGATGTTATGGAGTATGAGGGAGGATAAATATAACAACGTAGGAAAAGGTAGGGTCTTGCTCTGCCCCGCCTTGCCCCCTACCCTACACTACTCTCCACTACCCTCCACTACCCTGCCCTACCCTACCCTACCCTACCCTACCCTACCCTACCCTACCCTACCCTACCCTACCCTACCCTACCCTACCCTACCCTACCCTACCCTACCTTCTACCCTACCCTACCCTACCCTCTACCCTACCCTACCCTACCCTACCCTACCCTACCCTACCCTACCCTACCCTACCCTACCCTACCCTACCCTACCCTACCCTACCCTACCCTACCCTACCCTACCCTACCCTACCCTACCCTACCCTACCCTACCCTACCCTACCCTACCCTATCCTACCCTATCCTACCCTACCCTACCCTACCCTGCCTTGCCCTACCCTGCCTTGCCCGGCCCTACCCTGCCTTGCCCGGCCCTACCCTGCCTTGCCCGGCCCTACTCTATTCTTCCTTATTTGCTCTACCTCCACCTACTCTAAACTGCCGTGTCTTACCAAATAATGCCTCATTCTAAAACCACTCTGCTCCACAATGTTAACATGAAAGATCCGGAAGTCTTACCGTAACTTTAATATATTATAATTCACTTTTGCAACATACAAAGTTCATCTAGTGTTATTGTTTGCAATGTGAATAAGCCTGCATTATTAATGCCAAAGAGTGTAAACTTACCCTTTGAACGTTGTTCTCATAAAATATTCATTGCAATAATTGGTAGTAGCGAAATGCTTTTTTATCGAAGTAAAAAAGGTTGCTTTACAGTAATTATGTTTTACGTGCACTCAAATGTCAACTTTTAAAGTTTAAAATTAAAATTTTTTTTTAATTTTGCTTTTTTAGGTATGTCAGGAGTAGTAGAGCCGCTATGGATCAAGTCGGATGCTCAGAAAGAGCAGTCCGAAGAAGCCATGCTGCGCCAGATGGAGTGCGAAGCCGCGCAGAAGATTCTCAGTCAGGGTGTGAAGGTAAAAAATAAAGTTTTTAAAATTTCAAATCTTTTTAAAATTCAAATTTTTAGCCTAAGCTAAGCTTAAGCTAAGCCTAAGCTAAGCTAAGCCTAAGCCTAAGCTAAGATTTTTAAAATTTTTTAAAATTAAAATTATTCAACTTAAAGTTTTAAAATTTGTTACTTTTACCGTAATTTCAGGTCCGTCGAATAAACAACGGTCTAATCTCAAAGCCCTCTTTGTTATGTGTGTATGAGAGTAAGATTCTAACATATCCAAGTACTAGTTGTTTTGTGATACGATCTTTAAAAACACGGTTTTCAACGCCTGTTAAGTCATGTAAGTTTTACTGTATATGCATCATTTAATTTTATCTAAATCTAACTTTAAGATTAAGCCTACGCTTTAATCTAAGCCTAACGGTAAGGCTAAATCTATGCCTAGGCGTTTGTCCGGGCTATATTATAAACTTAGCCGTAAGCCAAAGCCAAATCCTATGCCAAGCCTAAAGCTAAGACTAAATCTAAGCCTAATGCTATGCCTAAAGCTAAGCCTAAAGCTAAACCTTAAACTAAGCTTAAACCTAAGCTTAAACCTAAACCTAAGCCTAAACTTAATCCTAATTATATGCCTTTGCTTAAGCCTGACCCTACTAATTGTAGACATACATTAACTAACACGCCTTTTGTATTCTATTATGAAAAGATAATCAGTAAAAGAATTAAAATATTTGCGATGTTACATAATATCGCTGATATAACTAGATAGCCTTAGAGAAATTGCAAGAAACCGTATTACGCAACATTTTCTTATGTAATATGTTGTATTTCCATAATATTTGCCTCGATGTAAAACGACCCAACAAATGACTGCGAGTGCTGGGATCTGGCTACATCTTTCTGCGAGACATCAATTTTTACCTGCCATATTTTCAGTATATAAACCCAACATCTTTTGCATAAACCGTCATTCTAAGCCTAAGCACAAAGTTAAGGCTAAAGCTAAGGCTACAGCTAAGCTTAAAGCTAAGGCTAAAGCTAAGCCTTAAGCTAAGCCTAAAGCTAAGGCTAAAGATAAGCCTAAATCTAAGCCTAAAGCTAAGTTTAAAGCTAAGCCTAGTTACTATAAGCCTATAAATATTGTAATTTATCAACTTAAGGTGCCTAATTTTATCTTACACTTGGCTATGTAGATGTCCTATCTAGGTTAATATACAAATATTGTTTAATTTTCAGTAGAAGTGACAAAGCTGTTAGAAGTGCGACAAGGCTACCACACAGACGGTCTCCATAGGGCTTCTAAAAAGGATGGATTTAAGAAAGAAGCACCAGTAAGGTTTTAACTTTTGATGTTTGATATAAAGTGTCACAATATAATAAAATTTATCTTATTGTAAGTCATCTGCAACATCATTCTAAGTAACCTACATCATTCTTTTTCAGGAAAAGCGATGTTTCTCTTTAATCACCAAACATCAACGAAATTCAGTCAAGGCCATTGACTTCTTGGCCGACAATCAGCCAGAACTCGAAACCTGGATTGATGCTCTAAAAATCGTGCTGCGACATTTAGAAGAGAATTGTGTATCATTCGATGAGAAACTTTGGCTTATGAAGCATTTTCGAAAAGCCGATACTGATAAGAATGGCAATTTAGCCTTTAGTGAACTTTGGGCATTATTGAAGCAGTTGAACACACAGATGAATGAAGTTCACGTCAAATGTGTTTTTAATGTAAGTTTATTGTTATGTTAAGTAAAAATGTGTTTTTTTGCTGAAATTTAGGTATTGAAATTGAATTTAAACTTCATTTTTACAAAAATTTCCAAAGGAAAAATGGAAGAAAGTAGGGTGCAGTAAAATTACTGTAACTTTAAAAACTCGAATAGTTAACAAATTTTGTTTGTTGGGATAGTTAGCAAAGTTATTAATCTACAAACTCAAAAACTTTCAATTTTCAACTTCATTTGTTAAAAAAGTTACATTGAAAACAAATTTATATTATTCTTTTCTCAGCGCGCCAAAAAGAATTGGGCTGTTTCAGTGCATTTTTGTTAAGAAATGGACCAATTCTTTTTGGCGCAGATTAAAATAACTTCGTTGTTTTTACTTTTTTGGTCAAAAAGTTTTTAGAATTAAGTTTTTCTTGTAATTTGCTTTTTCTTTTTTAATTTTCGAAATATTTTTTGACCTTAAAATCTTTCTTTTTACTTTTTCTTTCATTTTTTCGACCGCTAAACTATTTTTTTTATTTTTAAGTATATTTTTTGGCCATTTTCTAACAAAAATATACCTAAAATTTTTATTTTTCAGAGGATTCTAGAAAAACACAACAAGAAAAACCCTCAATTAGATTTGTCCGAGTTTTTGGAGCTTTTCGGCCTATTAACGACATCAGAAGAGCTCAAAGAGATTCTGAAGGAGAACTCGGAGAATCATGGTGAAGTTATGGATTCTCGAGACTTGTGCACCTTCTTGAGAGACGTGCAGAAGTTTGAGGACGTGGATTGGCAACAATCGACCGATTTGATACGACAAATGGAAGTTGGGGCTGATAAGCCGGATAAAAACAGTCCGGTCAAGATTAATGGGCAATTGGCTTTGACTGTTAATGGTAAGTTGGTTTTGTTACTTAAAATTATATAAAATGGAGTTTTGTTACTTAAAATTTATATAAAACGTATTTTTGTTACCTAAAATGAAATAAAAGTTCATTTTTGTTACCTAAAATTAAAAAAATAACTGATTGTTACCTAAACTCCAAAAATCATAGTTTTATTACCTAAATTTTAACTTTCAGGCTTCAGAAGGCTGCTACAAAGCCGCTACGGGTCGATATACAAGCCAAATCACGAGAAAATCCATCAAGATATGACCCAACCGCTTTGCAACTACTTTATTTACAGCAGTCACAATACCTACTTGACTGGGCTTCAATTAAGTGGCAGAGCGACAGTCGAAGGCTACATTTCAGCGCTTAAAGCTGGTGCTAGGCTTCTTGAGTGTGAGTTTGTTGGATTTTTATTCCAAAGAGCCTTCTCCGCCGCGTGTCTTACTGTAATTTTTTTAATTTATGCAAATTTAAAAATTTTTAAAAAGGGTCAAAAATTTTTTTTAATTTGACATTTTAAAAAATTTACTTCATTTCCAGTAGACATATTTGATGGTGAAGATGGAGAACCCAAGATAACTCACAAACGTACCTTAATCACCGCCATAGGCCTTCGAAATGCCATAACCTACATAAAAAGATACGCCTTTGAGAAATCCCCTTACCCTGTGATATTAACTCTAGAAAACCATGCCTCCTTCGAACAACAAAAGGTAATGGCAAACATCTTCGAAGAGATACTGGCGGAGACTTTGTACGTGCCAACTCCGGAGCAACTTGCTTCTCTGTTGCCGTCTCCAGAAGCTCTGAAGTATAAGATCATATTGAGGGGGAAGGCCACACATTCAGAAGGCAGTTTGGATGAAGATGATAGTAATGAAGAGGATGAACATCGGAAGCTGAGTAAAGTCAAGAGTATTAAGGAAACGCATCCAGCTTTGAGGAAGTTGATAGCTATGCCTACTGTGTCGTTGAAGAAGCATTTTGTTGAAGAACTTATCCAAAATCGTGAGTTATTTTTTGTTAATTTAGGATAGAGGTCGTTTTTAGTGCCTATAATACTGAAAAAATTTTTTTTTAATTTAAAATTTGAAAAAAAAATATTTTTGTTACCTAAAATATTTTAAAAATGTGTTTTTATTACCTAAAATAGAAAAAAAAGTTATTTTTGTTACTTAAAATTTTAAAAAAACGTCTTTTTGTTACCTAAAATTGAAAAATTTACCTTTTTGTTACCTAAAATATTTTAAAAATGTCTTTTTGTTACCTAAAATAACCAATAAAGCCAGTTTTTTTGAGCTTTGCATATTGAACTTGATTGGACCTTTTTTGCACGGTGCAATCGTGGTGTTTTTGCACGATGCAATCCTTTTAAAAGCCTTGCACAGTGCAAATAAGCGTTTAATTCAAACATCTTTTTTAGACCCAACCCACTCCTCAGCATCCCTCGGTGAATCAGTAGTCGACTGGTTTGCCACTCAAACCTCACTCATCCACAAATATACTCAAAACCACATAGTAAAATCGTATCCTCATGGTATACGACAAGACTCTTCCAACTTACATCCAATGAACTCCTGGATTTGCGGAATCCAATGCGCGGCCATGAATTTACAGACCGAAGGCGAGGAAACCGACCTATCTTATGGTATGTTCGCTGTAAATGGCATGTGCGGCTACTACTTGAAGCCGGACATACTTCGAAGTGGGATCAATCCGATTGAATTTGCAAAAACCGTGCCAAAGAAGATGAGGATGAGGATAAAGGTGATTAGTGGGCAATATTTGCCCAATGCAGATCCGTCGGATGATATTATTGATCCATATGTGTGTTTACATATTCATGGCATTCCAGGGGATACATATAAATGTAGAACGAAGGCTTTGAGGGATAATGGTAAGTGATTTTTGGGTATGAAGTGAAGAAATAAGATGGTTTGTATTTTTATTACCTAAAATTTAAAATTAAATTTGTTATTTAAATTTGGAAAAAATTATTTTTGTTACCTAAAATTTTGAAAAAAATGCGTTTTTGTTACTTAAAATCCGAAAAAAATTAATTTTGTTACCTAAAATTTGAAATAAAAACTATTTTTATAGCCTAGAATTCAAAAAAAAAAATTTTTATTACATAAACTTCGAAAAAAAAACTTAAGTTTGTTACCTAAACTTCAAAAAAAAATTTTTATTACCTAAAATTCGAAAAAAAAAACTATTTTTGCCACATGAAATTCGGAATAAAATTATTTTTGTTACCTGAAATTTGAAAAAAAATTGTTTTTGTTACCTAAAATTAGAAAAAAAAGTTATTTTTGTTATCTAAAATTTGGAAAAATAGAATCTTATCACCTAAAATTTGAAACAGTTGGGGGTTTTGTTACCTAAAATACAAAAAATATAATAAGGTGTATACTTATAGGCTTCTTAAGCCTTCTTCTTTCTATCCTATCCTTTAAAAATAGTTTTAAAATTTAAAAATTCCATTTTTTTAGGCTTCAACCCAGTGTGGAACGAGGATTTTTCCTTCCAGCTCTCCTGTCCATCCGTTGCCATTTTACAATTCGTTGTGATGGATTTTGACACAACATCGGCCGATGATTTCGTCGGTGAATTCTCGATTCCAGTGCCCAGCGTTCGAGCTGGTTATTCGTTCGTACGGTTACGCACGTTTCAACGTTCCCCCGATGAAGCGGCCACACTTTTTGTTCATATCGATTTTGCCGAGGAATAAGCGTTTGTTTGGTTGTTTTAATTTGGTCCTATTGGTACTAATAGTGGTATATTATATTGGTACGAAGAGTGTTGCCTTCTATTGGTACTAGGGATGCGTTCTGTCGATACTTTACGTGATATATTTGGTTAAAATAAGTGATATTACAATATAAGGATATATAAAGTTATATTTAACTGTTTGAAAGAAACTTTTTGCCATTTTGAGTTTTAAAGAAAGTTCTTACCATTTCTTGTTCTGTAAAGAAAGTTTTTACTATTTTTGATTTTGTAAAGAACGTTCTTGCCATTTTGCGGTTTGTAAAGAAAGTTATTGCTATTTTTTGGTCTGTAAAGAAAGTTCTTGCCGTTTTATCTTTTGTAAAGAAAGTTCTTGCCGTTTTTTGTTTTGTAAAGAAAGTTTTTGCATTTTTTGATCTGTAAACAAAGTTCTTGCCATTTTCATTTTTTAAAGAAATGTTTTCCATTTTTAAGCCCTTCACTTCCTCAAAAACACCAAAACCCAATCAAATTTCGTTTATCAAAAAAAAACTATGTACTATAATATAATCAAAATAATTCAAATATCAACTTTTTGAACCGTGTCTTCGAAACATACAAATCAGTTGTCACAAAGGTTGAGTATGACATATAAAAAAATTTAAAAGTTATATAAAAGAAGACTAAAAAGAATGACACAAAATTATAATTTAGTGGTACAATACAGTACGTTGGAGCTGGGGTTTGGGTACGAAACAATATAACGACAAAGTCATTGAACTACATTGTACTTAGCTGGTTTTACTTCAGATTCTACAGTATACTTGACGATTTCCATTTTAATTTATCCTGTATATCATATTAGGTGCCGACATAAAGAACCCGCCATACTTTGCCTGTAATTCCCTGTAAAAAATGGCGGGTTCTTTATGTCGGCACCTAATAGTATACTTAACCTAAACTGTAGCGGTATAGTTACAGTATGCTAAAACCAAAAATACCGCATACCCAATAACGCTTACGATATACTTCTTTCCTGTATTTTAGCGAATTTTAAGTTGAAAAAATCAATCCGAGTGTTACATTCCAATAATTATATATGATATATGTTATAAATTTAAACAACATTCAATCTGCACAGTTATTGAGTGCTAAAAAAAGGGAGGGAGGGGTTGGCGGTTGATGACGAGGAGCTACTGTAGACGAAAGGTGGGTACTGTAGTTGAGCTACGGTGATGCGGGGGATATTGTAAGTGGCTACGATGATGACTGGGTACTCTAGTTAGGGCATGGTGCCGGATGGATACTGTAAGTGCTACGATGATGACTGGGTAGTGTGACTAAGGTACGTTGATTCTGATGGCTGGATAGTGTGGTTAAGGTACATGGGTACTATAGTATGATGATGAAAAAGTACTGTAGGAAGGTCCAATTCCATGATACGGTAGTTTGAGCAGAGTACTGTAGGTAATTGACATGGAATACTGTAGACCAAAATGGTACTCCAATAGCACCAAAATCAGCCATGGACTACTGCGACAAGCACTGTAGTACCAAACTATCCATATAGTACCATAACAAACTCCATTAGTACCATAGTCACTTTCCTATCCAAACATGCGATGCGGCCGCGTTAACTGCAATTTATACAGTATATTTAGTCCGAACGTTCGCCTACAAGTTCAACTCTTGCGCAATCTTCGAGGCAATGTTCTTGAAGCCGATCGAGGTGCCGGAGATGCGTTTGAAGCGGACGCCGTTCAACGACAGTCGGGGCAGCTTGCAAATCTGAAAAACAACTCAAATTTATTTTTGTTACCTAAAATATGAAAAAATCTATTTATTACCTAAAATATTATTGTTACCTAAAACAAAAAAAAATATTTTTGTTACCTAAAATATGAAAAAAACTATTTATTGTTACCTAAAATACGAAAAAATTATTTTTATTACCTAAAATATGAAAAAAATGTTTTTGTTTTAAAATTCAACCTCTTTATCATTTCTACAATTTTTTTTGATAAAACACTTATCAACCAAGTCCCCTTACCTCCATTTCCCACTGCACCAACGAGTCCGAGTTGGGGTCGCCGTGCACGCATAGAAGCAAGTATCGTTCGCGTTGTTCGTAATCGCACTTGTTCGCGTCTAGCACCTTCTTTATTTCTCTGAAAAAATGAAATTATACTATAAAAAGCAGTTTCACAAGCCTTAAGTTTTCGTCTCAAAAAAATTTAGTACCAGCGGTACCACCTGTAGCCAGTGTTTTGCCGGACCCGTCCCTCCTCGGTCCGGACCGAAAATTTTCCGAACCGGACCGGACCGAAAAAAAAGTTCCGGACCGGACCGGAAAAATTTTTTTTTTTATTTTAATAAAACTGTTTTAAAAATTGCAAATAAAACATATTTTTAAGAGTTTTTAAACGTAAAGAAAGCAGTTTGAGCGCTCCTGGCTCTTTTTTAAAAATAAAAAAAAAATTTTCCGGACCGGACCTGACCTTTTTGGTCCGGACCGGACCGGACCTGAGCGAAAAAAATAGAGCCGGACCGAAAATTTTTCGGACCGGACCGAAAAAATTCTCATCCGGACCGGTCCGGCAAAACACTGCCTGTAGCAAAAAATAGTACCAACAACTTTTATAGCTAAAATTCACTTTTGATTAATTAATTTGCAAGCTAAAGCCCCAAAAAAATATTTTTAGTACCAATGGTACCAGTAGTACCAAAAAATGGTACCAAAACTATTTTCTCAAAAACAATTTTTCTGCCAAAAACCCACTTCATTATGACATCTGGAGGCAATGAACTTGTTGTCTTCATGCTCCACGTGAACCGCAATGACCTTGGCTTCACTTCATTGTCGCCAGACTGTGCGTTCGGTGTGTTTGGTGCCGAACCGAAGCCGGGTGGTGTGGTTGGCATTGTGCCGGTACCGGCACTTCCTACCGTAGCCGAATTCACCGTGGTGGGGTCTTGATGTTGGGTTTGTTGTTGAAGTTGGGCTAGAGCGGCACCGGCGGAGGGGCCGATGGTGCCGCTTCGGCCGACGCCTTTACCCGATTGTGGTGGGGCCGGGCCGTCGGCCGTGTTGCGTTTCGTCAGCTTGGTCAGCTTGCTGAGAAAAAACCCTCGTTGGTTGGCTTGTGTAGCTTGTGGTACTAGTGCCCCGGGCTGTTCCGTGTCTAATTCCTCCTCCTCGTTACTGCCACGGTTGTGTTCGGTTTTGCCGTGAAAAGTCTGTCGATTTCGCGAATTTCGAGGAAAATTGGAAGCCGCCGACGATGGTTGGACTGAGATGGCGGTGGAGGGTGGTTGAGGAGTGGATGGGGTTTGGGTAACACTTTTCGTCATTTTGGACTCTTCCTGTTGTGATAGGGCTTTCAACATTTGTGGGGGCATCGACGGGCTTTGGTGTAACCCTAAAATGGCATAAAATTAATATTTTAAGTAATAGACCAGTAAAAATTTGCGATTTTAAATAAAAAAAGAACAAAAAGCTTAATTTAAGCATTAAAAGTTAAAAACCACCCCCAAAACAAAAAACCCCACCCTTACCCGGTCTAGCCTGTGCACTAGCCTCGTTGATTTGTGACGCCAAAGGGGTGACCGACCTCTCCTGACTAGAATTATTTGGAGAAAGTTGGCTTGGATCGGGGTCAGCTGGGGCGTGTGAATTCGGGTGGCCGCCGATTATGGGCAGGGTAGAATTCGAGGAGGTTGTGTTGCCTCCGGTGGTGGATTCTGATTGTTCATCTTCGTCTTCTTTGATCGATGGCTCACGGGGTGCGTGTGATACTGATCCCGACTTCTGTAGATTACTGGCCATCTTAAAATAAGGATATTATAGTAGGTATAAGTAAACATTTTATGTACTAAAGATTTCATTTCAGGTAACGAAAGCTTCTTTTTTTAATTAAAATCTGTCTTTGGTAACAAAAATTTCATTTAGGCATAAAATAATCAAAAATCCTTATATCAGGTAACAAACAATCAGTTTAAAAACCCAAATTTACCTGCAAAGCTGCCACATTAACCGAAGGTATAGCTGCCGGCGGATTTTGTTGAATCTGATTGGCCTTAGCCGCTAACTTGGCCGAATTTGGAACTTGATTCGGCAGAGCATCCCTCAGCTGGTTCATCGGAAACCAGTTGTTTGGTGCTCGTGCTGAGCTTGATCCGTTAGCACTTTGTTCACCTGGTCTTACGAATGGTATGCCTTTGTTCATTGGTACTCTGCCTGGTGCTGAGCCTTTCCTAGCCGATGATGCATTGATAGTATGACTAGCACTGGGTCGTTGACTTGGTGCTGGCACAGGATGGTAACCTTTGTTTCCGTGCGGCGTGCCTTGTACTGAGAGAGCTGGTGCTCTTCCTGAGCTGAATGGTGCACTTCGCAGTACCACTCCACTTGGTGCTATCGCACTTGGGGCCACGGCAGCTGGCACTCCCCCCAGTCGTTGTGTCTGTATTGGGTTTGGTACGTGGAAAGCTTGCTGGTTGGATGTTATACCTTCAGCATGAGACTGTCTTCTGGCCTGTTTGGACTGGACTTGTGCCGAATACGATCGATTTTGGTACTTTGACTGAGACGAATTGGTACCGCCACTGCTTTGGCTTAGCGGATTTTCGCTGTTCTGTTGATTTTGTGGTACGGAGCCTGGTAGCGGGGTTTCTAGGTCTTGCTTCGAAGCTTTTAGCATCAGATATGTAGCGTGAACTTCTTCGAATCGTTCTCGATCTAATGCGTCGTTTATGGCTTGAGAGTTGTAGCCTAGGCTTTTGAGTACTTGAATCAGTTTTTCGTCACGTTGATCTTTCGGAGGCTCCACGTACGGCTTTAGTTCGTCTTCTTCGTAGCCCATGTTCATCCATCTGAAATTTTTAGGTATTAACATTAGGTCAATCGTATGTTACAGTAGGTTGTCTGAGAAAAAATGAGTTGAAAAGTAGTGACATTTTATAAATTTTCAAAAAAAACCTTTAAATTTCATTTTAATACGTAAATTTTAAGAAGTCAAAATCTTTTTCATTTTTCAAATTCAGTGTTTAAAAAATGACAAAATCAACACAGAAATAGACAACCACCACCGTAGACGTAAAGTTAAACCGAGAAAAGTGAGAGTAAAACCAAACCCGGACCTATCCCGCATGATTTGTTCGAGTGTGCCACGCCGTTGGGGGTTCAGAACCAAAAACTTTTTGAGCAAATTTTCACAATCCGTCGACATGTAGAACGGAATACGGTACTTTCCGCGTAAGACACGTTCGCGAAGCTCCTGAAAATAAGAATTTTTAAAAAAATTAAAAAATTTTGTTCAAATATAAAATTTAAAAAATTTTTCACCTTTTTCGTCTCAAAAAGTTTTAAAATTTCAAATCTTCAGACCCTAAAGCCATACAAATTTAAAATCCGCTTAAAATATCAATTTTTTAAAGTTAAAGCCTTTAAAACGCACTTTCAAATTTTGTCCATCAAAAGGCAGTGAACCGGATACCAAAGTGTACAATATTACGCCTAATGACCATACATCCACTTCGGGTCCATCGTATTTCTTGCCTTGAAACAGTTCCGGAGCTGCGTATGGTGGACTGCCACAAAATGTATCCAGTTTTGTACCTAAAATACAAAATATTAGATTTTGCATCAATAAAGTCGGTTTAATATAGTTGAAACGTCTTTTGTACCTAAAAAAACAAAAAAAAACATTAAAAATTCAACTTACCCGCACTGAATTGATTACTAAACCCAAAATCAGCAATTTTTATGTTCATATCAGCGTCCAAAAGCAAGTTCTCAGCTTTCAAATCCCGATGAATAATGTTCTTCGAGTGAAGGTATTGAACGGCCGATACTATTTGTCTAAACTTGGCTCTAGCCTCCTTCTCCTTCATCCTCCCATGTGCTACCAAATAATCGAAAACTTCACCGCCTGAGGCATACTCCATAACCAAGTACAAGGTCTGATCTGTTTCCATGACTTGATAGAGTTTGACTATATTGGGATGATCCAATTGTTTCATTATTCGAACTTCGCGGAATAACTTTTGCAAACTTGACGGATTCAAGGCAGTTTTGTCGATTATCTTGATGGCCACATCAATTCCTGTTGGTATGTGTCGTGCTAGTTTTACCTAAAATTTTAAGTGTAAAGTTTTGTTTCAGATAATAAAATGAGAGTTATATTCACTACATTAAGCACTTTTTCAAAAGTATAAATTTGATGTTTAGAAAAATTGTTGTATCTTCAGCATTTCTTTCTTTAAAAATTATTCATAATGTCTTTAGTTGCCACAATATGTAACCTAACTATGTCTAAAATTTCAGCTTTCTAACTATTTTTTAAAAAAAGATGTGATCAAAAACATTTGAATGATTTTTCATCCAGTGTAATATCTTAAACTTCATGAAAAAACTCTTCTTCCCAGTCTAATGCTAAAAATAGATCAACATCAGCAAAAACACACATGATCCAATCAAAAATTACATCTTATCAACAACAACATTGCCATCACACCATTCAGAACCTAAAATCAAAAGAAACACAACTAAAACACTTACTTTTGCAAAATTTCCTTTCCCAATCGTCTTCAGCAGCCGATACCGACCAATGTGTGGCTCGTCCGCTGCCCGTGATCGCGATGACATCATTCTAGACGAGGACGACGACGAACTCATGCCTTTGGAAGACGAATTCGGCCCGGTCGACGGCCCATGATGGTGGTGGTGATGATGGTGAGACTGCGAAGCACTGAAACAATCAATTTTTACAAACAGTAGTAAAAAATCAACCGGGAACCTAGCTAAAGAGAATTAAGAATAAAATTTTGTTAAAAGGCGTTTTAAAAAATAAAAATCAAAAAATTTCGTCCAAAATCTAAAATATTTGCTAAAAAAACATATATAAATCAATGAAAATCAATGTTTTTACCTATTATATGCAGTCATATACATTTTTTAAACAAAAATTAGACGTACATTGACAGTAGACAGGCATCAAATCTGCTTTTCATATTAAAATCGGGAAGGAGAACATTTTCGGCACTTTATTATTTCCGCAAGAGGAATTTTTTAGTCACACAACGAAAATAATCGAGTACCAAGACCGAGTTGGCGTCCCGTTTTAATGCTTTTTCTTTGATCAAAGTAGTTTTTAGGTAACAAAAATGAAAGACCGTGAAAATACGTTTGATTTCGACTTTTTTTTATTTAAAAAATTTAAATTTTTATGACTCTAAAATTTAATCTTCTCCGACTTACCCTGGGATTCCGCGCACATCGAACTTATGATGCCCATCTGCACCACTTCTGTGTGGAATTTGTGAATGCATTGTGGACTGATGGTGGCGATCATGTCCACCGGATTGATAGCTTTGATTCGAAGACGATGTGGACTGGGTTGTCGTGGGTGCGGTGCTAGAGCTGGTGGGGCATGGTGCCGCCGCCGTCGATGGCTGCGTGACGGTGGGCGAGGCCGGCGGTGGACTGGCCTGCACGACCGCCGGCGATACGACGGTGGTGGATGAGGTCGTTATGACTGAAGGCTGAGCGGCCACCTGGGTCGCCGTCTTGGTGGAGTCGTGTTCGGGACGTGGCGCAACTTGCTCCTTGTTCTCGTCCGCTGCCAGCACCGTCTCTACCCGTTGCGGTGTGGTGGTGGAGCTGACGTCGAGTGGGTCGTCCGTTTTCGTGTCGTCGACGTTCGGCTGTTCGGCGTCAGGATTGTTGTGGGGCTCTTTCGAGTCGGTTGTGAGCTCTTTCGAATCGGGATCCTCGAGCTGCTTCAGTTTTTCGTCGTTGGTGTTGGAGTCGAACGACGTTGCGGCGACAGCCGGCTGGTGCGCCTGCAGCGGCGCGACGCGTTGCACAGATGTCGCCGTGGTGACGGCCAAGCGTTGTCTCTGACCGCGTGCAAGGCCAGATCAAGAGGTTTGCTCGGTGGTTTGGTGCACGAGTGCACCGTCGCGCTGATTGTTGGTTGGAATTTTTGGCTACAAATTGTGCTGCCAGAAGGAAGTGTGTTGTGTTTTGGTCGAAAACCGTTTTCAAACCTTGATTTGAAAGTGGTTCCGTCGACAAAACGCAACGAATTAATCCCCAAGTTCAAGCCTGAACTACAAGTAAGGCGTCGGTTGGTTGTTCGCACCTTTCGTGAATTCTCGCTCTTTTCCACTTTTCTGAAAAAGTGATTGCGTGAATAGGAAAATAATATATCGCGTACAAATTACGGCCATCCATCATTTTTCCGAACTGGTTTGAAGGAGAACCGTAAAAATGGCGATTATTAAATAATCTTTAACACGCTCGGAAATTAGAGAACGTCGATAAAATAAAGTGTCGATTAATGTGTTTCGAATTGGTGGAACATTGCGTTCTGGGAAAAAATTATTTTGAAAAACAGTAAAATACGCCTTTTTGCTATAACAATACTAGGTATCAACAATATCACCTTGTTTCACCAAGATGACAACAAAAAATACTATAAAATTGCTTGATATTGAGCTAGGTGCTTGATATCGAGTAACAAACCTTTGTTAAGTGACCAAAGACGAGATGCATTACAAAAACACTCGAAATCAGTTGGAAAGATTGTGGGTTTAATGAGCTTTGGAGGGGAATGGAAACGAGAGACAGCACAGTTGTCGCGCTTGGCCGTTCAGCAAAGAAACGAGTGGACCTCGAGGGCATTGAATAAAAACAAGTGGTAATTCAAATATAAATTATTCCACGACGTTAATTGAAAAATATAGTGGTAGGGCTTGAGCATGGAGTTGGGTTGCTTAGGGTTATGGGTTGAGCGAGCTAGTTATCTGTAGTTGTGATAGGGGTGTGTTTTGTAAAGAAGGTAATGAAACTTTTGAAAAGTCATGAAAAATTCATTTTGTTAGAAATCGTTGGTAATTGATCTAACATTGATTTTTCGATCACAAAATCAAGAAAAAAATGATTATGAAGAAAAATGCAAAAACAAAAAAAAATACAAAAGCCAAGTGTCAAAGTTCATAAAATAACCATTCAACCCCATCTATCAGCTTCTCACCTGATCTATGCACTAAAACTGACTTTTTACCACAGCAAAGCCGATTTCCCAGCCCAGTAAACCCAATGTATTCTAGCCAAAGGGGGGAAAATAAAAAGTCCGTGTGTTCTAGTGGTCTTTACGTTCGTCTTCATTTGCGGCCCCTTTTTTCTCAGCCCCCCTCCCACCGCAGCACATCCCCAGCCCCGATTGTGTCTGTGTGTGGTGTTATCGTCGGATAGAGAGGGGGGTTCGCTGAAAAGGTATTTTCGGGTTTCCGTCCGCGGCCCCTGCGGAAAATAATATCAAAAAAGCAAAGCAAAAGACAAAAGCGAAAACCCGCGGAGAGAAAATCGAGCGGCTGGCTCGGACTGGACCCAACTATTGCGATGCCGTCATCAGCCCGCCCGAGAACCCCCCCTTCCCTTTACTACCCTCGTCCTGGGTCGGTCTTGAGAGGAGGGGTGCAAGAAACCGTCTCGAGAAAAACCGAGGGAAAAACGTTGGTTTTTCGTTAGTCTAGCTTAATATAACCGCTGTTTTGTTCAGTCTAGCTTAATATGACCGTCGTTTTCTTCGGTCTAGCCTAATGTTAGATTAAACCAAAGTAATGGGACACTTTTCATTTATTTTTCAGCCAAAAAGTGTCCCATTACTTTTGGTTCAACCTATAACCGTCGTCTTCTTCGGTCTACCCTAATATAACACGTTGTTTTTTCAGTCTAGCTTAATATAGCTGTCTTTTTCTTCAGTCTAGCTTAATATAACCGTCGTTTTTTCTTCAGTCTACACTAATACTGCGATTTTAGGCCCTACAGCTGGACGGTGAAGTATTCCTCAAAAAAAATTTTTTAATCAGCTTGATCCCCCCTGTTGATTTTTGAAAAAAAATTGAAAAAATGACGTGTCGCCTTAAGATCATCTAGCCGCTTTGTATCAGACCAAAAACTCTTAAAACTTTCATTTTTAAAAAAAGTTAATCCACTTGTAGAACTTTTACTTCCAAATGTATTCGAGTCCCTAACACCTTGTTTCCCGTCTTCCAAAAGGTTTTTTGTCGTCGTCTTTCAGCCGGTTCAAAAACTTGAGCAAATTAATGAAAATGTTCTCAAAGGCCCCCTAGAGAAGGGCCTAATGGGAAAGCGTATGGGAAACGCAAATGAATATTGTAACGATATACGGGAAATGTATGCGAACACACTTGCAGAACGTAATAGCACAAAAGTTCATGTAAACAATTTGGTACTGTGGAGGGGGGGGGGTTTTGGTACTGTGGGGGGGGCGGGGGGGTTGAGTACGACAAGTAAAGGTACAGTAGTGGTATGATTGGGTATGGTAAGGTAGAGGTAGTGGGAAGATGTGATCGGATATGGTAAGGTAGTGATCAGGGCCAGGCGGGGACTTTTGGTCTGGGGGCGGGGGTCGAAAAAATCGGCAGCTACCTGTGGCGATTTTTTTTCGAATTTTTTTTCCAAAAAATCCACAGGGGGGACCACGTTCAATTTTTTTTGAAAATTTTTTTTGGGGTGGGAGGCAAGGAAATCTCACATCACATTGCTTTTGCTATAGCACTTCCCTACCTATCTCACCCCCACCCCCCCCCCACCCTTCTATTGCTGTAGCACTAACCCACCTAGTCCGTTACGAAATTTGAGAAAACGTAATAATTAATGTCTGTCGCAAAAATAATAGAACACTGAAATAAAACACGACAATTGCTATTGGTCAGTGTTTAAGTGAAGCCGTGGGGCTGCTTTGAAGCATGGGTTATGCTTTAGCCCAGTCTAACGGAGTTAGTAAAAAGAAAGTTGCTTTTTATTAATGGTGTTAGATTGGACTAAAGTGCTTTCTGGAGCATTTGAAGAAGGTATCGTTAGTGGTAAGGAGGGGAGAGGAAGAGAGAGGGGGGTGGGTGAAAAAAAATTACCATACCAAAAAAAATTTTTTTTTGAAAAATGTTGAACGTGGTCCCCCCGCCTGTCGGTTTTTTGCTAAAAAATTTTATCCTTTTTTTTTTAGTAAAAACGTGTTGACATTGATCGAAAACAAACCCGAATATGCAAAAAATTCAGCGAAGAAAAAAGAATTCGGATAAAAACAGAAAAACGAACGTAGTAAACAAAGTAAGAAGCGCTAAACATTGATCTTCCTTGTTCTTTGAAGAAACTTTAGAACCTTGAAAATGTCAGCCTTACATAAACAAAGGTCTAGGATGTTTTCGAGTTTGAGATTGTAGGGTTTGGACTCAAAATAAAACTTTTTGTGAATCGGTCCTCTATCTCTAAAATGTGATTTTATGTTTTGTAAAGAAAGTTCTTGCCATTTTTTATTTTTTAAAGAAAGTTTTTGCCATTTTGTGTTTTGTAAAGAAAGTTCTTGCCATTTTTTCATTTTTAAAGAAAGTTCTTGCCATTTTTCATTTTGTAAAAAAAGTTCTTGTCATTTGTTGTTTTGTATAGAAAGTTCTTGCCATTTTTGGTTTTGTAAAGAAAGTTCTTGCCATTTTTAGTTTTGTAAAGAAAGTTATTGCCATTTCTAAAAAACCAACCAATTCTAAATCCTTAATTTCCCCTTTTACTGCAAAATGTTTCACCATGTGTACTTATCAAGATATAAGTACATAATCTGCTGACACACATGTAAAACGACCTTAAGTGTAGCCGTGGAGGATTACACGATGAGGGAAAAACGATGGCTAACGTGATTAAAAAGAACATGGACTAGTTATGACTAATAATCGTGTTATAGTCTTGCATAGAAAGGACATGTGTTTCTTTGTGAAGATATAATAACACGAGAATAGCTGGAATAATCGCAAAAATTTTCTTTACAAAACAAAAATGGCAAGAACTTTCTTTACAGAATGAAAAATGGCAAAAACTTTCTTTACAGAGGAAAAAATGGCAAAAACTTTCATTACAGAGCAAAAAACGGCAAAAACTTTCTATACAGAACAAGAAATGACAAAAACTTTCCTTACAGAACAGGCGAGAACTTTCTTTACAAAACATAAAATAGCAAAAACTTTCTTTACAACACAAAATTTATCAAAAAACTCATAAATCCAAAAAATTTTAAAATTTGTCTAAGAAAATCAAAACATTACCCATACTTTCAAAACTAAATCGTATTCGTCGTAACAGCTCTCAAAATCCGTTCAAACCCGCCGGGCGGCCCTCATCATTACTCACTCAAAATCATAAAAAGTTGACTGAATTTGCACTTTGTGCTCTATGGACATTGTTATTTCAACCGATTTGATAGGAAAGACAAAAATAATATCGAATGTTCGAATAAACTAATGTAGTTCTTAAAACATGAATCATATTTAGAAGACGCCCACCACTATTAATAGTAGAGCAGTAGGAGCTTAAAATAGGTATTAGTACAAAAGAATTTACTTTGCAAAACAGAAAATAGCGAGAACTTTCATTACAAGACATAAAATAGCAAAAACTTTCTTTACAAGATAAAGAATTGCAAGAACTTTCTTTACAAAAGACAAAACCAAAAAAACAATATCCATAGTATAACATGTCACCCGCATGCTGCAAGATCAAAATTTTGGCTTAAAACGCTCATTTTCATTTTAAAAATTCATGCTTTGTCGTATCAAACGTAGTGCAACCTGAAAAAGATTAAAAATTATTCAAATTTAGATAAAAAGAGAATAAACTTTCTTTACAACACGATTCGCGACTTTACTACGCGTAACACGACTAGTGCATAAGTTTTAGAAATTTTTATATACCCTACCCTACCTTACACTACCTTACCCTACCCTACATTGCCTTACCCTACCGTGCTTTACCCTACACTATCTTACCCTACTCTATCTTCCCCTACTCTATCTTACCCTACTCTACTCTACCCTACCCACTTTTCTCTACCTTACCCTGTGCTACTATACCCCCCACTTTACTAGAGCCTCCCTTACTGTGCCTCAACTTTATCCTACCCTAAGTTTCAAAGTTTAGTAGTACTAAAACTGAAACTTTCCAACAAAAAGGCCGTTTGGAAGTAACAAATTGTCATAATTCGAAACAAAACTAATCGGCTTAATTCGAACAAGTTTCTTAAGACGTGAATCATAAAACAACATTTCCCAACAGTTCCGAGGCACGTTAACAGAGGCTTACACTCTAGACAAGAAAAAACGTTCCGAACCCCAATTTGTAAACATTTAAGTGGAAAACACGTCATGAATGGTATAAATTTTGAATCAGACCCGGAAAAACGACTCGAAACGGCTTTAGCTAGGACTCGTGCTAAGGCTAGGGTTTACCCTAATACAGAGAATAAAAGATAAAATGGCAAAAACTTTCTTTACAAAACAAAAAAACCAAAAAGTTGAATTAATCGTACAACCTATCCACTGCAAGCTGCAAGAACTAAAACCTTTGATTTTCTGCATTCAAATGGCAAGAACTTTGTTTACAAATCAAAAAATGGCGAAAACTTTCTCTACAAAACACAACATGGCAAGAACTTTCTTTACAGACAAAAAATAGCAAGAACAAAAACTTTACAAGCCTAAAAT